ATTATATTCATAAGTTATATAAGTGATATAAGTTCAACAGAAATATCTATGGGATAGACATCGGGAGTCTAATGGCTAATGTTAATGTTAATGTTAAACTCGGAGGGTTGAACTACTTGGTCGAAGGATGAGCCTGGAGTATCAATGACAGATATGACATGCGATATTATGTTTTGAGCTTTATTTTATTTTATTTAATTTCTTTTTATTCCTTTTTATTTCCTGATTTATTTTCCATTTTCTGGATTCGGTCTAGTCGACCCAGAAAAGAGAAAAAGAAAAAAGAAAGTGGAAACCAAATAAATAAAATAAAATAAAAAGGAGACGGTGGAATTCGGAAAGCGGAGAAATACGGAGAATGAAACATCAAAGTCATGATTTCACCAAACCCTCCGCGAAAGCAGGTACAGTTTCACTTAGTTCGAGAACTGAACTAGAACTAGAACTATTTATATAGGGGCAATCTTATCAAATATTAATGCCATGAATAGTAGTATATCTACGCTCTCATATAATGAGCTAACAAGCAGAATACAAAAAGAATAGAACAGGTCAAGATACAATCACCACCCCCGTGCCATGGGTGATCCGGTGGAGCCATGGATTAGGATCGGAGGGTCTCCGTGACATCGTATACAACATACATACAACATACCAAAGACAAGCCAGTAGATTGATGTTGTATGTACTCCGTAGTCAACGGACTTAACTCGCTGTTGAGTCTGACTCATCAAACACCTGCCTATTTGGAAGAGAAAGAAAGAGATCATCTGTGTCCTTCTCCAGGCAGCGTAAAGTACAGACGGCGGCCGTCCCCGTCCTCTGATTGGCCACCCAACCACTTCCCCCACTTTTCTCATCGACGCCCCATCCCAGAAAGGATCGCCTTTGGTCTCAGACAACCTCAGGAACCTCAAGAGGATCCCAAGGGCCAATCCTCCGAAGAGCGTCATATCTCGGGGCGTAGGTCTGTGCACGCCATACCGAGCTATTGAACTTGGGATGGGTCGCCGTCCAACGGCAGTCAAGGATAAGATCCTCGGTCTGGAGCAGCCAGTCAGAAGCGTCAGAAGCGGGTCGTCTGCCCTCACACCCGTGGACGGGGGATTTTAATATAAAAAAGAAATTCCCTTTCTCGACATCTTTTCTCTTTTTTCTTTTTCTCCGGGTCCGGGTATCGGTGACTTCTGGTTGGGTTATCCGCTGCTCCATGACTGGTTTCCCATTTGGACCAATTCCCCAACGAAGAGGACGAGGAAGAGGACTGAGCGCGGCCAGTTCAAGGTAGATCTCCGCCTGGACCCGTCGATTCGGTATACAATCTACGTCGTCCGTACCATAATGTATCCCCCGTGGACTATATATATAATGTTCGGGTATCGACCCGGGTCACTAAACCCAATCAGCATGAACGGATGAACAGACCCGGGGACACCACGCGTCGCAGATAAGAAACAAAAAAAAAGAAAACCAAAAAAAAGAAGGTTAGGCTTCCGGGCGAGAGAGTTTTCGGTAACTTCACTTTTACTTTAGTTTTTTTTTCCTTTGTCCTCTATCTCAGGGCGTGAAAGTTAAGAGGGGAAGAGGGTCCCGTAACCAATGCAGACCAAGAAATGACGACTGGGGTTGGATTGGACGGCCAAAACTTTCGCGGGAGATCCTCAGCAGATCCAGGCCATGCCACGCTGCCACGCACAAAGTCCAGACACGGGTCTCAGCCACGGGGCCACCTGTCTGGCTACGCACCCCGGTCAAGCCACGGGGCTAAGGATTAGATCGGCGGGCGATTGAGGGAATTATTCAGTACGAGCAACATACATCGGACATAGGACAGGAAGTTGATCCATTGTATATTGTACATAGATAGCGGAGGACAGTGCTCCGTTTAAAGTCAGGTCCCAGAGGAGTGGTCGGCCACGCTTGTTGAAACTCAATTGGCGCGAATGACAGATGTCAGGATATAAACATTTAGTGTCGAGATATAAGATAGGGCTCGCTAAAATAAGCCAGTACGTACGCAATGTGATGTATCACTCCGTATAATCGCCGAAGTCCGATAGCATAAGAATAGGAGAAACCAATAATTCAGAAACCAAAGCCTGGACCGAAATCTGAGATCATCGATATTCTGCACAGCCCATCACAAGCCCAGGATGGCTCTAAGCGCGGGAAGGACACAGCAAAGAGGCTAGCGTTGGCGGTTAGACGTAACAAAGGTACCCAATATACGAGAACAGGAAACTATTTACATAGTGTGGTCGGAGCTTGGCATTTCCAATCGAATTACCCCACAAATGCGCGAGCAAATCACATTGGAACCGAGGGAGCACCAGATGTGGTCCTATCTTAAATAGACGAGAGGCGTTTTTTCCACGGACGATCTCGGTGCCCATTATCTTTCTCGATTCGAAGATCTCGACTCATAGGTCCTCCGTACTCCGTACTCCGTACTTTCGAGTCGATCGCTGGCCTGCGATTTGTCGACCCACACAAATGCACACACCCATACCCAGACACTCGGGGCCAAAAGAAGGATTATTAGATTACATGTTTTATTATAGGTGGGGGATGTGGAAGCTAAGACGCTTGAACGGGTAGGTGAATAGCGATTGTAATAAGCAAGCTGCATGTCAGGTGGAGTTTTCGCTACTGAAGAAAAAAGAGGCGCATCTAATTTAATTCCATTGGCACTACATCAACCTGGACGGAGTACTCAGAAATCAGCTCTAGACCCGTTAGGGCTAGAATCGGCGCCGATACGAAGATCGCCCCCTCGAACTAGGCACTGGATGCCCCCGGCTAGGAGCAGGAGACACAAGCACAGCGGCAGCCACACAGGGAAAGAATAGGCAAATGCACGCCCCGTGAAGGAAAACACAACCCGAAATAACTCGCACTAATCGCACTAGTCTCAGTGGCGTCCGTACTATGCTGTCTTGGGGACGAACTAAGATAATGCCGCAACTCTCTCAAGGGTCTAGCACTAAGGGGCGATCATCATTAGGGAACTTGGCGTCGACGAAGATCCGGTTTGGTCCACCGACTGGATGGTTTCGGGGGATTGTAGCTTTCACTTCGGAGGCTCGGGGAAACTATATATTAATCTATGTATAGTTAAGATTGGGTATCTATAGTTATCCATTCTAGTCGTAGATAGATACAAGGTACAATGAACCTACGGAGTGCAGAAGATGTGCATGCCTATGCAATGCACCAGTATCACACCCTTCCACTATGCACCGTGCCACAAGCACAAGTCCCTACATCCAACCTCGTACAGAGATCATGGGAAAGCACAAGGGCAATGGCAATAGACATAGACATGGACTCCGTCTCCGTACTACCTCCCTAATCCGTCCACAAACCCGAGACTGTTCGGGACCTGATCCTCTTACCCGCCCAGGACAATAGCCTGGCCTTTCTACCCCTGATTCTGGGTGTTGCCTATTGGCTGTTAAGATTCCACAGATATTAGAGAATTGTTTTATAGAATTGCTCATTTGCTGGTTCTTTGCACGGTGTGGAGCAGTAGTACATCAGTAGTACAGTGCTGTACCCGACAATCATAGGACAGCACCCAAGGTATGTGGTTGAAGGTATGACATGGCGCACAGTGGAGAGAAACAATTCGTCGTCAGCCTCAGGGTTGAATGCGCGATCATGGAGATCGTCTATTTATTCCATTTCGGGGAGGATTAGTGGATGCTCTATCCGATCGCGCTTGTGTGCATGGAACATTGAACAAAGGACTAGTTCTCAGGTACGAGTACTCGTACTCCGTACATGTACTCCATCCATATCCATACGGAGTTCTGCGCACGGAGTCTCCCGCAGGAGGCAAAAGGCAGGCAAAAAACAGGCAAAGAGGCGAATACGCAAGACATGGATAACATTATGATGTCGGGTCATTTGTATAGCATAGTTCAAGCATCGCCTCCACCTCGTATAATCAACACCTCGACCCCGTGATCCTCGTGTCAAACCAGCCGATCGGGTAGAAAGAAAACATAAACGAGGCCAATGAAGCTAAGGAAGCCAGTGCATCCACTTATTTCCACTATTAGTTAATGTTGGCGTGTCACACACAAGGGATCGCTCACGCCCATGTGGTCAGAAGGACTGTTGGAACTTGGCACCCAGCGCTACGGCTCGTATCTGATTTGTGCGAGTTGGATCCTGTTTTTGAGCAATCAAGGTTGTTGTATTCAAGATTGTATATGGGACATTGAAGCAGGTATATCCTACATTGTAGGGATTATAAAGCATGAGTAACTATGTTGCAATCTCTAGTTAGGGCTTTACTTATTTAGGGCTCGAGTACTTGATTATGGGAAAGACATCAATTCTTGGCATCTGTATGAATATTGCAGCTATGTATAAACAGAACGACCTTTCTCGGCTTCCGTTTTCCGCTTTCTTATTTCCCCCTTAATAATAGCGAGACTTCCACAACCGATGGTAGGAAGCCGATGTAACTAGCTACAATAGTTATGGGATCAAGATGTATCAAAATATCAATTGATCCACTATTGAAACTAGGATGGCTAAATCCAGCCAGATAAAATAGAGCTCGAGACTTCCAAAAGTAGAGTGCAGAGTCTGATATGAATACCAACAGTTCCTACTTCGCCAAAGTCCGTCTTAAATGATCTAGGGGTAAAGCCAAGCTTATAACATTGCAACTCAATTATATGCATTAGGGGAAAGTCAGTTAGATTGCTATACAAAGTGTTCTCCGTACCGCAACCTTAAGACATATGGCCATGCATCGACATAGTGGACACCTCGCCATCCAAAGCATTGGGATCTATGACATCAGTCAAAACCCACTAACGATTTTCAAGATCTTCAACGACGCTATTGACTCATTAATAAATGGCGGGCTCAGGGGGAGCTACTCTAAACCTCTAGGAATGCAGTATCTAACTAGCCTCGGCGATTCACCTTCTTTTGTAATAATTCTCGCTACGGTATACCTTCCTTTGACGCACATTAGAAGAATGCGAATGCGAACGTACGGAGTACATCTGACTCGGGATCCACTAAATAGTTCTGTTCACCGATATTGACTCAAAAACAGGGCCAAAGCGAACTACGCCGTTGTACGCATAAAGTACTCTATGATATACGGCCTCGGTCTGTTGTATGTCGCCCTAAGCACTGCGGCATACATCGTCTCTCTAGCGCCGCGCACTATTATCACAATAATACTTTCCATCTTGCTATGTGGAGACCAACATGGATATCATGCACATCTATGGAGCGTCGCCACTATCCCAGCCCAGCTGGAACGTGTTCCCGTCCAGTTCGCAAGATAAGACCCAGCATTCTAGAAGGCAAATCCTGACATCTTCTGCCGACCCGCCATGTGCATTCTTCACCTGCACCTTCCCTGCTCAGCTGCCAAGCCGTCCTAGAAGATTGTGCTAGTTGGTGCATGACCGTCGGCACATAACTCCGTATGTACCTAGTTGCTTTTGCCTCATGCATACCACAGAATCCATACAACATACATGTGCGGAGTACCTACGACAGGATTTTCCTATAGATCTGTAAGAGCACTAATAGCAGCGACATATGACACACGCAAAGAAGCGGGCTAGCAAGCAAGGAACCATCCATCCCCCTTACGAACCCGAGAAACACTCACCCCTCAATAGCCAAATTGTACGTGCTCTGAGAAAAAAAAAGACGATGTACTCCGTACTCCAACAGCGCTTGCGAAAGAAAAGGATGCATCATTTCGATAGCTCGAACGCCTCTCGCCGATCCACTACAGCTTACCCATCCCAACGCGCCCCGCCCTTCCGCCGGGTGTTAACTAGCGGCGATGAGATTTGTGATTTCGCACTCGATATACATCACAGTAACCAACCACCAATAGAAAACCCTCAACAAGCGATTGGCGTAACCGTTTGTTGGGAAAAAAAAAGGCAAGAGAGGTGAGGTGAGATCAGATCGCGGCCAACGGCTTATGCACGCCACCACCTCTCCCATCCCATCACAGCACCGATCAAAGCACAGCGTGCATGGCGTGGTAGGGACGTGCTTGCAAAAAAATCGTGATTCGTCATGTACGAGACCCAATTCGGTAGGTGGTTGTTCGTCACATCTGGACGAGGAATGAGATTGGATGGTTCGGATACGCGCTGCAACCAGGATCACAGATGGTGGCGCGGTGGCTTTTTTTTTGCGCGGGCCTAAGCACCTAGGTCTGTTTATTTCGAGGGCCAATTCGGTGATGCAGTGCATGGATCAGGGGAGGAGGGATGGTTCTTGTTATGCTGTTGTGGCCTGATTCGGTCATAGGTACCTCTCCTCCCCGGGTTTGGTATATCCCTGTCGCGAGAGCTGGTGAGTGTGTCGTTCCATATGTTCCCCCTTGCTTGTTTTTTTTAGGTTGGGGGTCTGATTGGGCTTGGTGCTTGAGGGTACGTGGCTTTTTATCCTTGTTTTTTGGCTTTTTCTCGCGTGTTCGGTTCAAGGGGAGGTGGAGCACAGGGTATGTTGACGTCTGCGTTGGGTTAGGTGCGTTTTTGTAGATCTATCTTGGATGCTTGTCTTGGATCGGTTTATGCTTTCGATTTAGCTGTGAGGTTGTTTGAGACCCTTTTCCCAATCTGGACAGGTACTTTGGCACTTTAGTGCGGCTTGATTGATGAAGAATTGTGAATATTCCATATGCTGGATAATAAATATGCAAAGATGCACATCGCAGATCAAATAGTATACATGTTGATATTGTACAGTCAAAGCACATGCGCCGAGTCCCGCTATGCCAATATACCAAAGAAAAGAGAGTCCTGTCGAGTCATGTCGTCATGTCCATTGCATGGAATCAAGGAGACGAACGGATCACATCCTCAACAGCAAGGTCTTCTCCCTCGACCTCCTTAGGGAACCCACTACCCCTCCGCACATGCATCAGCAACCGCAAAGCACCAACAGGCGTCACGCCTTCAATGCGCTTGGCCATGCCGACACTGATAGGCCGCACACGCTCCAGGACCTGTCGCTCCTCGTTGCTGATACCGTGCACCTGACTGTAATCCAAATCCCCTGGCAGCAGCAAGTTCTCGTCCTGTTGGAACCGCTCAGCCATCTTCTCCTGGCGTTTCATGTACGGCGCATAGCGGCCTTCGATAGCGACGCGGGTGAGGATCTCCGGCGCAAATGAGAACTGGGTATATGTCTTCCCCGGAGACTCGATAATAGGAATGAGGGTGTTGATGTCGATACCGTCCAGACACAAGATATCGAGCGCTGAGCGGATCGAGGTATCAGAGCGCACCTTGAAGCCCTTGCGGGACCAGGCAGACGACGAGAGTTTCGTGTTGCCAAGGAGAGTCTGTAGCTCTTGGATCTGCGCTTCGGTATCGGAGAAGTGACGCCAACGCTTGTCGGAGACGACGCCGGCATCGCGGGCCATGCGGGTCAGACGTAGGTCGGCGTTGTCGGAGCGGGTGGAAATGCGGTATTCGCTTCGCGTCGTGAACATGCGGTAGGGCTCTGAGACACCCTTGGTAATGAGGTCGTCGATCATGACTCCGATGAAGCCGTCTGACCGGGTCAGGGTGAGGGGTGGTCGGTTCTGCGACTCGAGGCCGGCATTTGTGCCTGCGATGATGCCTTGTCCAGTAGCTTCTTCGTAGCCGGTGGTGCCGTTGATTTGACCGGCAAGGTAGAGACCGCTGATCAATTTAGTCTCTAGGGTTGGTCGCAGGTTGCGCGGGTCGATGTAGTCGTATTCAACGCCGTAGCCGGGCTGGAGCATGGTTACGTTCTCAAGACCGCGGACTGTTCGCAACATGGCGTATTGGGCGTCTGCGGGCACAGTCATTGAGATGCCGTTCGGGTATATGACGTCGTTTGGTGCGAAGCCTTCTGGCTCGAGCCAGATCTGGTGCTGGGTCTTGTCTTTGAATCGGATGATCTTTGACTCCAGGGAGGGACAGTACCGTGGCCCGCGCACAGTCTCACGGATGTGGATGGATTTGTCCAGATTGGCGCGGATGATTTCATGGGCTGCTTCGTTTGTATGGGTCATCCAACAGGTGAGCTGACCTTCGTCGCCCACTTCAACAGTTTTGTTAAGATAGGAGAAAGGGTGAGGCGGCGAGTCGCCTTTTTGCACTTCAAGAGCGCTGAAATCGATGGTCTTCCTATCCAAACGAGGTGGTGTACCCGTCTTCAAACGTCCCAGTTGGAAGCCAGCTTCTCGGAGGGACTTGCTGAGACCATATGTGGGGGCTTCGCCCATGCGTCCCGAAGGGAACACATCCATTCCAATATGAATCTCACCCCCTAGGAAAGTGCCCGTAGTGATAACCACACGTCCAGTAGGAATGATCTCCCCAGATTCCAACCGCACGCCAACAATCTTGCCCTGAGCACCGGGGGTGTTCTCGATGCCTTCCCGGGAGAGCACAATATCAGCCACCTTGCCCTCCACAATGCTCAGATTTTCCGTGCCAGCCAGCTCCTCCGACATATACCGCTTGTAGAGATCGCGATCGATCTGCGCACGCGGTCCCCAAACAGCCGGGCCTTTCGAACGGTTCAACACTCGAAACATGACACCAGCCTTATCAATAACTCGACCCGCCACGCCGTCCATTGCATCCACCTCACGAATCATCGTTCCCTTTCCAATGCCGCCGAAACTGGGATTGCACGAACAAACACCGATATTCTCCAGCGAGGGCGTGACCAACGCAGTGCGCGCGCCGGAACGAGCAGCAGCAGCGCATGCCTCAGATCCAGCATGGCCTCCGCCAATAACAACAACATCGTATGGTCTAAACGAATCAATTAGCAAGACTCTTGATGACAACACGGCGAAATCACGAACCGTGTGTTATCTGTAACAGTCGCAAGACCGCGACTCCGACCCATAAATGAGCGGAGCCCGCGGTTCTGACGCATCAGAGCCACCGACCGTGCTCGAAAAGCCATGATGGGATGCAATGCGAATGTTACCCTAAAACTAGGTACTTCGTACAAACTGGACGATCAAATCGATAAGGAAAATTGTATCTTCTCACGTGACCGACCTTATACCCGTTAACCCCGGGCGGTCACACATCTGACATAAGCGCTTGCGCCATCGGCCAATTGCGGGGCTGTTGATGTTCAGTTGTAAGCTGACCTGTGGTAAGCTGACCTGGACTTTTTCTATAACTAGCCCCTCTTCGCATTTTCGAATCTTACCTCGCAATCCGTGAGAAAAACCCCCAAAATGAAGGCATACTGGTATGACAACATTGAGGTAAGCACACACCAATTGGCCGTACCCAGCTTTCCAAGCATTTCCAGGTACAGCCCACCTCAGAAGAACAACGCTGATGTCATCTATCTACAGGGCGACCAGCGCGAGCCGCATGACTCCGGTCGCGCCGTGTCAGAAGAGAAGCTCGCCTCGCTAGGCGTGCTATACAAGCACTGCCCGACGATCGATGCGGTGGACAAGATCGCAGCGGAGCGCGGATACCGCAACCGCGACGAGGTCTGCGTGTCGCCTGCGACAATGGGCGCCGTGTACGAGGAGAAGGTTAAGTCGTTCTTCTCGGAGCATCTGCACGAGGACGAGGAGATTCGGTATATTCTCGACGGGGAGGGATACTTTGATGTGCGTGGGCAGGAGGACGAGTGGATTCGCATTTGTCTTGTCAAGGAGGATATGATTGTTCTCCCTGCGGGAATTTATCATCGGTTTACTACCAATGAGCAGAACGTATGTTTCTTGGCTTTTTTGTTCGTGGAATGGGACTGACTTTTTTTTGCAGTATGTTAAGGCCATGCGTCTTTTCCAAGACGAGCCTAAGTGGACGCCGTTGAACCGTGGTGCGGATGTTGATGCCAACCCGCACCGGAAGACTTACTTGGAGACTGTTGTTAGTCCTACTGCGGCTGTTTAGAGTCGCTTTAAAATTTAGATGCGTTATGACGGATTGCACATATACTACTGACCGATTGGAATCGGAATTTCTTGAGATTGTCTTATATCTTTCGTTGCATGGTGCTTTTAACTGTACATGGGGACAGCAAACCCACAGTAAATCAATCGAAACCATACCTAGTGGTAGGAACGGTCAACCGACACTCACTTATATCAATGGTCTGGGATGCCAGGCGTCCCCAATGGCGTACTCGCCGGCATGGCACCAGGCATATCAAAATGGTCACTCGTAGCACCGCCGCTCTGTTGCCTCGACATACTCGAGCTGCGCAAGCCACCCATATCAACATTAAAACTAGTCGTGCGCGAGCCAGCACCAAGCCCTAACATGCCCCCACGGAACCGCAGCCCCTCCAGCTCCCGAGCATGATCGTCGGAGAACCGCGGTGGTCCTGCCACATCGGTAGAACTCACGCTGCGCGGTGGTGCCGTTGATCCAGCATCCGAGTCCTCCCCGGTCCGGACGCCTGTTCTGCCCATGCGCGGCCATAGGTCTGGAAGTCCGACAACTTGAACTCGAGGTTCGACGACGCGCTCCTCGAACCATGCGTGGACTCGCGCTTCGACTAGTTGCGCTATCTTCGGTACATCCTGCAGTCGGCTGCGGGATCCGATGAGTGAGCGCACGGAGAGGTCGAGACGGTAATCTGGGAGGAAGGAGAATGCGACGTTGCTTTTCGGGCTGCTTTTCGGTGGGAGGTGGTCTTCCGAGCTTGTGTGCTCTCCGGGACCAGGGGGTCGATTCCCTGCGTTGTTCCCTGGGTCTGATGTGGGGTGCGCTGGTAATCCATCAGGTGTTTGGAGTGGTTCTGGGGGTTCGGTCGATGCTGGGATCAAGGATATACAAAGTGTTCCTGAGAATCTCACAACTGAAACTGACAGCGCTACTGGTATAATGGCAGAGCGAGGTTTGGGATAATTCAGAACCATGGATGTCTCGACAGCAATAGAAAGGTTGTCGTCGCTAAGGTCGACATCCAGTAGCGCCTGTAGCCGTCCACCGTCGGACATGGGGTCGTCAACGGCGATGATGCGGCAGTTGCTGAAAATGGGAAACTCTTCGCCCAATGAGATATCGGTCACATTTATCTGGTCTATGAAAGATGGTTTCTTCTCCGGGTTGTTCATGGCCGCCGTTAGCGAGCTGAGGATTGACGAAGTGGGTGAGTCCTTGAGGGAATATGCTGTCTCCCTATACTGAGCAATTGTCTGTGCAATGAGCACATTGAACCAGTCCAGCGACTCGGGTTGATGTGAGGAGTGATGCATGCGGTGTCGGCCCTGCTTGCTCGTAGGGTTGGTAGGAATGGCACTGTAGTATGTTTTGCGGAGGATGGAGCGGGTGTTTGTAGAGGTAGAAGGTACAGGGCGAAGAACATTCGACGTGGACGGTTTTTCTCGTAATGACTTTTGGCTATCTTGAGGGGGGTTATAGACCGAGCTATTGCGGCGGTGTGTTGTGCGGTTCGACATGCCCCGCGATGGAGGGGGAGGCGCTTCACCAAAAATGAAAAACTTGATGAAAGCGCCTATCAGTAGTACTACTGAGAGTTGGCCGAGAAGGAACCCCTGGGTAAAGGACAAGCTAATGGGTGTTAGCAAGATCATATAGTCCATTCCATGGACAGAGGGCGTACGAGGATTGAGTCGCGTATGGCGCGGGCTCATCTACATAATTGTCAGCATACGATTCAAAAACTTCGAGACAATGTCACTCACTTTGTTGGAGCACCATTGTCAGCGGCTGTCGACAATTCTTGTCACAATACCATCCCAGATGAAGATGTTCCAACTTTCGGATCTCCGAGGCTTGGCCGAGATCATATCTAATCGATATGCCACCCTCGACCGCCTGCCTCGAAAGATTTAAGGAAGCGCCCTAACCTATTTCGGGGCTAGCGTCATTAGCATCTATAAAATACGAACACCTGTTCATCCTGTTTCAGTCTTAGATTGGGTCACTGATTGCGATCTGGGAATTTATTAGAGAGCATCATCCGACTGAACCGGTCGATCTAACTATCAGTGCCCGTTAAGTGATCATTCAATGCTCAGGGTGTGCCCGGGTCTACTCAGTAGTCAAAAAGCGGCAAGGGTGAGACTAAAGTGGAAAGGGAAAGCCAAAAAAATGGCAATGTAAGATAAATTGCAGAGTTTGTAAGGCTAAGTCCAAATACAACAGCATCGTAATAAAAGCAACAGCTTCCCCCCTGGGCAACCTGATTAATCACCCTAACGCTTCAGCTGACTGGTCCCATTTACTCTTCTGCTGGTAGCTTCTTGTCCTTCAAGTATTCACACGACCTCGCGGTTTTACTGTCCTTGTTGTACCAATATTAGCAGGGCATATCCCATCTGTGCTATGGGGGTTGGGGGTTATAATGTCTGGGTTGACCTTTCATTTATACTCACTTTGGCTTTTGTTCCTGCCAGTTTCGGATCGTACCTTCCAATAGTTGCCTTGCCTTTTAAAGCTCCTCGTGATTTCCTACTGAGTTCCTCGTCATTTATAATCATGGGTGATCTATGATTCTATTCACATATCGCTAACTCTAGCTCAACCTCCGCATTACTATCCCAAACGGTACTGTAATCAAATCCGCTTGGGCACTCCCAGCTCTGCTAAAGACTTCGTCAAGCCCACCCTGACCAAATTGTCAATCTCCTTAGTCGTAGCTACAGCCATGATCCCCAGCATTCCCAAGGAATTCACCCCGGCCTCCTTATTAATCGCACCTCGTCTTCTCGGCAGCACGATAATCCACCTCTTGGTAAGAACCATATTATGCGGACAGACTGCCCCAGGCGCTGCATTTGCCGTATAGTCCCCAGCCACCTTCGTAGCCTCTCGCAACAGGTCTTTGTAAGCCCCGAACAACGCAGCAGGAGTCACATCGCCCTCAAAACGTCGATAAAACCATTCAAAAGGAACCTTAGTCTCAGGTTCTCCGGGAGAATCCAGGAAAGCAGCAAAACTGTTCGCCGGCAGGGGCATCACCTGCATATGCTTATGCAGGCGACTGCATCCGCCGTTCTGGCCGCAGTTGTAAAATGCAACATAATCGCTTTCTGCGGAGCTGAGGAGCTGCCACGCGTCTTCTAGATCGACCTGCTCGAGCGCCTCATATTGTCGTTTGTGTCCATCAAACGTGAGAAGCATGAGATGGGGCCGAGCAAAGCAGAACTTGTTCACGATCACTAAGTGGCTATCTAGCGCGCCGAGCTCAAACCCGGTCGTGCTTATGTCGCTGCCTGGTCGCTTTTCGGGTTTTGGGATGCCGGCCTCTGGTTGGGACTGGGGGCTGGTTAGGGTGGGTTTTTTGGCGAGAGCAGAAGTCAGAACGAATTGGAACTTGGTACGTTAGTGGATGTTTGGTTTGGATTATGGTTGGATGTAATGTACTTTGAGGTCGCCGTCAATGTGCTCGATGATTTGTTGTTTGTCGTCGTATAGGACGAGGCCAGATTGGACGAGGTTGTCGAATTTGGCGAGGATGAGGGGTTCTTCCATTTTGACTGTTCTGTGAATTGTGTTAGACGCAAGTGTATTCTAATATTTTATGGAGATTGGGTAGAAATTCGGTGGGAGCAGCCTATTTATAGTCTCTACAGATTGCGTGCACGTCCGGGATCTTGATAGTGGGATTACCATTGTTTTTAGGGTCACGACAATGGGTTTTTTTGCCAGACAGAAAATTAGTAACTAGTTAATAAGTAACTAGTTAGTTATGTAGTTACGGGGAATGCGACCCCCTGCCCGAGATTTTAGGCATCAGCTATCTCTGCTGTTTCTTGAATCTTCCGCCAGCAGGTTTAAATTCCTGTTTACATAGAAAAAAATGCACCATTCTGCTCACAATTTCATGCTTCTCACTTCAATTTTATTGCCCAGAATCTATAAGCTATGTATTGAAGGCCTTGAATACAAGAAGCCCCCCTCAACTTATTATGACGTATTAGGTCACGTGCCGCATCACGTACAAGGTGGGAAGAATAACTACGTTAAGATAGAGAGAAAGAAGAAGAAAGTTGCAAACTTAGAACCCTCCCGCTTAGCAATCTAGCAAACATATAAATAGCAATAAGCAAGCAAACATAAATCGTAGGAAAAGCGGCCAGGAAAGCGGTAAACATTTATATTAGTTAGGCGGTCAGTCGCTGCCCGAACTATCCGGCAGGAGTCCCATCGGCCAAAAGGGGGTCGGAACAACTATAGGGGGGGAGGGCGCCCTGATACAATACCCTAATTAAATGCAATCGGTAATCCACCCTAGTTATGGCGTAATTGTAAGAAGTTGGGCTGCGAAATAGTCATTCGCCTCACAATTTCAGGAGATCATCGAATCATCTTTCTTCCAATGCCTCATCAATCCTTCCAGGTAGCCCCGCGTCGTCGGTCACATCAATGGCAATGAAGTCATCCCGAGTGTAAGAATACGCCTGATTTTGGAGCCAGTGTCCCAGTTGATCAAGGATAACTAGACGTATATCAAGTGCTTTGATGGCCTCGTATGCCCACTGGTGGCCAAATGATCCTTTGGCGATATCGGACGCCGGACGCGCACCTACCATGACAATCTTGCGTCGAGCTGGCTTAGTCGGAAGTATCCAATCAAAAGACAGTCGAACCTTCAAGTGTTCCTCTAGCATCTTCGGGATCAATGTCGGAAGCTACTTCATAAGGAATGCCCCGGGAGAAGAAGGCAAAAATCCAGGAGAGACTTGTCCCCTTGAGCCGGAATCGGCGCAAAGCCACTGTCCGGACTCGACAACCGAACGACCGAGTTCACGTATTCGAGATCCCGCAACCTCAAGTCGAGAATATCGCTCCCGCAGAGATACCCACCATGAGGAACTAGAATCACCTTCGTTGCCACTTCGACCTTGTCGCCGGATGCTTGGATTGTGCGGACGGGATATTCGATCGGTGCCTGCGGTGGACAGAATCCGACCACCTTCAGTGGAATTTGTGGAAGAAATTCTCAAGAACAGATCAAGACTATGAAAGAAGCCCGGTGTCTTCACTGTCAGTTTGAACCGCCAGCGACAGGAAAACTTTGCAGGGGCTACCGTGACGCACCTTCGCTGCTACTCGAGTCCATAGGTGCTGTTTGCCTGGGTGCTTGCAGGCAGTCTCAGGCATTTGGGACCTGGGAGAAACTTTGTAACCTCCCGCGGTCTCCACAACGCTTAACTATATTTAGTGGAGTCCTCGTGGAGGCTCAATTAATTTCTTTTTTTTTTCTTTGTGCAGCTGTTGCCATGGTATACCTGTCGTACGCCATAGGCACAGAATGGCAACTTCAAATATCGCAGTGGACACATGGCAATATCCCATAGGTGTATTCTACTGCATTGCATCCCACCCCTGTCTTGCCCAAAACGCGCAGTGCGTGAAATGAAAAAAATCCTTCAGCACTTCGTCCGATAATGATTCCAACTTGATGCGGTAAAGCCCACATTGCAAGCGGATAAATATAGTAGAATCCTTTCGTGGGATAATCTATTTGGCTTCGAGGGGCCGGCCTGCAAATCATGTACCATTATACTTATGTATAATAATTGTCTTCCAAGCCAGATAAAGCTGCACGTAATTCCTAACGATACTATTCAAGCATTCACCCCATTGCCTGTGTGGGGAACAAGGATATAGGTTAAGGTAACTTGTTTTAGTGCTCGAGTATTACTATGTCGTAAAATCAGACCAGCCTCAAGAGTAGTAATTCTAAATATATAGAGAATTTCCAGGGAGTGAGAAGTGGTCCCCCCACATATACATATTGTAGATCTGTGAACTCCTGCTACGAAAGGGATGCGTTCGTTCCTCCGCCCAGCTTACCTTTTAAGTTATGATCATGTAGGCGCTAACAATGGAACTTTCCAGTTGACAACTAGTTTGTTTTCTTTCTTCTGTTATATCTTTTGGAAACAATATAGGCTATTTCACCACTGGACCATAACAAAATCCAAGGTACATACTTATTTAGGGCTTAGTGGGACCAGATATGTCCTACTTCTTGTTTGACCATGCATTTTATAAAGAGTTTAGGATTCTGAGAATGAGACCGACTTTGACAAGACCCATCACTAGTAAAAAGATCACCCCAAAAATTTACTAAAGTCGAGTCGTAGAACAGTAGAAAGCTGAAATCAACCACCTTCCATCATGCCACGGAAAATGAGGGGGTTTCTACAGCGCCACGTCAAAGAATAAGAGTGAAATGACCATCGCATGATTCAATTCGCAGCTTATCAGTGATGTGCTACCCTCGACCGCTTCTGAAACTTTAAGGAAGCGTCCCTATCTATGTAATCAGGTCCTAGCGTCAGCGTATATAAACTATGTATGTACACCATAAGTACCCCGTACAATAATATAGTACTTGTGGACCTAAGGTAGATAGCGGGCTGAGTCGGCAGTGACATAGGCTATACCATGGCATCCATTAAGCCTAGGTGATTCATCACCACGCAATTGTAGGGGTATCAAACTGGCCGCCATACGCGCTCTCAGCTCAACCTATCGTCAATAATTGTGCCTCATAATGGTGTTAATACGAGGTTTATCCACCAATCTCATTATGACACGCCCCGTGGACACCCGTGGACACCCGTGGACCCCTAGCATATTGCTATTTCGAGTTGTTTGATAGTGATCAGCTGCGGGGTAAAACATGCAAGTCGAGCCATTTGGAATGTTTTCTACCCAGTGTTATTAGAAATCCTAGCCTCGTTCGATCTCGGGAGGCTATAAAGTCACAGTTATAGCCCACTTTTAATTGCTTCTCACACAAAAAGTCTCAAGTTTTTACTCTACATAAGCCAATACTCAGTCACGCTCTTATCAATCCTCTTTACCTCATTACTAAAGGTTATTCATTAGAATGTACTTATCACCCCCGGGGAATGACATTCCTTGTGGATTGGACTTATGGTTTATCTAGGTGTACCACTACCATAACCACTAAAACGGTGACCAAAGTCGATGGGAGTACAACGAACACAACAACCACGAAAATAGCAGATTGTGGAGTTGCTACTTGCAGGACGTCGGCGTCTTACCTAGGTTGAGCTGTATGTCTATATCTATGAAGATCACGTTCAGCAAAAATGTCCCAACTAATTCAACGAAAGCATAGATCGGGCTGTTCGACATCGGACGAGGTGTAACTTGATCGAGCACGCACTTGAATGAAGTTGGTGTACAAGCTTGCGCACTGACGCCGGGGGATGTGATATATAAATCATATGACTCAGCTATCTTTACGCTACATAGGCTACATAGTTAGGTGGTTCATTCATTGACGATAATCTAACCAAGGTCACTTTCTCAATCACTTGTAGTTCTAATCTATTCTCCATAAAGAATCTTCGAAGCAGTCGCCAATGGTAGTCGATGAATGGAAGCAAGTCCAGATGTGACAGGAGTGACTTACTTTTGTTAGTGGTCTACATACAAGTGTAGGTACCTGGTCTGGTGTCTTGCTTCTATAAAGCGGTGGCATTAGCCCTAAGAAATCAGAAAAGGGGGTCACCAAATTCGTATTATTGCACCCCGCATCCTCACCGCCTCTATATCGATGTAGTCAATAATCAATTTGGATCTTCCTCCCCTTCTGTTATCATCTCCTGTGCGCATACATTAAATCATCATGAGTTTCGTGGACCAAGCTAGTCCTAAGAATGAGATCAAGTTTGAGCAAAAACCATTGATAAAATCACTCCAAGACTTGAATATAGTCGAGTCGTGGAAAGATGGAAAGCTGAAATCCACTACCTTCTACCATGTCACCGAAAACGAGGAGGTTTTCTTTGGCTACACCTCAAAGAACAAGCGTGAGACGAGCATCCCAGAATTCAATTCAGCTCTGCAGCGCGTCCAGGATCAAGATATTTATCCAACAATTCCCGCCGACACCCACTTGACACTTGCACCGGAAGGATTAAGCGCTTCGTCAGTTTACGTGAAACGACCAGGCCTACAGTGGTACGAGGAAATGATTGGCACAGATTATCTCCCCAAGGCCGTTCTCGACGAGACAATGGTGATGGAGCAAATCTCACAATCGCCTCACGAAAACATAATTCGATATTACGGCTGTCGGGTGAGACGTGGTTACATCACGTCGATTGTGCTGGAGCGGCTTGACCAAACCCTGAGCCAGTATGTCACGACGTCCGATTTTCAAGAGCTCGACAAAGTCAAGTTTTTCGAATCGCTCAAGTCGGCCGTGGAGCACCTGCACACCTTGGGGCTGGCTCATAACGATATCAACCCGGATAACATTATGGTGAAGAATGGGTCGCCGGTGTTAATTGACTTTGATTCCTGTCAGCCTTTTGGGAAACGGTTGCAGTCTTTAGGTACGGAGGGATGGTATGAAGAGGTGTTTTATACTTCTGAGAAGAAACATGACATATATTCCCTTGAGAAATTACAGGAATGGCTTCAGGCTGCTAAGTGATGTTAGAAAAAGTCATGTCTCGATACAATATATAGCTATTAGGATATTTCTTATTCTCTATTGTATTGTTTGTACAGAACTAATTGAGAACATAGTACGGATTATATATGGAAATGTTTGCAGAGAAAAAGACATGGTCAAAGATTCTAACTATGGGAACTGAAGTAAATTACATAAATACGAATAGTTGGCCACATTTGCTACCTCTATATTAAGACAAATATAATCTAGTTGGCTAAATCGTAGTTTTTTATATATTTTTATAGATATCTTCTCTCCTTGTTGAGTCTTTTGTCATCTACCTACGACAAAAAAAAAAGGTTGGTATAGATAATGCAAACAGAGCAAACAAGCTAGATTATTCCACTCCACTTCTACTTAACTGAAGGACACGAAACCCTTAAAATAATCGCCACTTGTTGACTCACAGGCTACAGCATTGGGGCCTAATCTCTGATATCGTGCTTACAACTAATCACTACCTCGGAATCAATCTCAACCAATACTCCTCCAGGCATAGATCCTAAACCACAAGCTAGAGAGCTGTCAGCTCTCAACCATCCAACCATGCACATTCTCCCCAAGCTGGCAATCACAGCCTTACTCCTCATCTCACCAGCAACATGCCTCTCAAGCTCCAAACCACCAGGCAAAGACGCCATCCTTCTATCAAACGTGCAAACCCTCACACTCCGCGCCCACCGCATGACCACCGCACGGCGCGTCTCACCAATCCCCCAACTCAGCTGCGCAGGCCCCTCAAAACAAACGTGTAACCTCTACCAACCAGAAACAATGCGCTGCACAAACCAAGGCTACGACTACGACGTCGAAGACGTGCAGTGGACATGCACCGCAGACATGCCGGCAGAGTTCAAGCTCGGCGCAACAGATGTCATCTGCGAGGGATACCGCAATGCCGATGATAAGTGGGTGTTGAAGGGGAGCTGTGGGGTTGAGTACCGGCTGCTCTTGACCGAGGCTGGCGAGAAGAGGTTTGGGAAGAGAAACATGGATTCGGAGTGGGGCGGGAGCCAGTCCGGGACTGGGGTTCAGACGATCATGGAGATGCTGGGGAACCTGATTTTCTTTGGGTTCATCGCTGCTGTTTTCATTCTGATATTCTTGCCTATCTTGGCGCAGTGTTTCGGGTGGGGGAATCGGCGAGGCGGGCGGGCGGGGCAGCCACCGGGGTGGGGCGGGTTCTGGGGAGGTGGTGGTGGTGGTGGACCTGGCGGAAATGACCCTCCGCCTCCGTACAGCAGTTTCGATCCTTATAAATCTTCTGCTCGTCAGGGCTGGACGCCGGGTTTCTGGACTGGTGCGCTAGGCGGTGGTGCGGCTGGTTATCAGATGGGCAGACGGGCTTACAGTGGATCGCGCGGCAGGTCTGATGGATATGACCCCGGTGAAGGCAGCTCGCGCTCGCCGCAGTTCTCATCTACCACTGCTAGTACTGGGTTCGGGTCGACGAGGCGTAGGTGAACATATGGACATGCCATTTACGTATGTCTTGCTTCGCTCGTCTTTGCTACCAACTTGGGGAGAAGAGATACCAAAAGACAGACAGAATTTAACGAAGTCACAAATCAATTAGCGAATCAAACAGCCTTTAACCCCGGGCTTGATCAATGTGTATCCTATAATCCCACTCAGAACGCCGTAACCAATAATCTTTCACTTCATAAATTGTGCATTATAATCCCCGACTTAAGCCGTGGGAAAGTCATCGATTGATCCCAGAACCTCCTCTGTACCGCCTCCCTGGTTCTTCACACCCGCCTTCTTGCGCGACTTCTTCACGGTCGTGTTGTCGTTCTTGACATCCTTGGAATCGCTAGTCGGGTTGCGCAGCATTTCCTCTTGCATTTCCTTCTCCTTAGCGTGCTGGTCCTCAATCCGCTTCTTTTCATCGTCAAGTTCCTGCTGGACAAGCTTGGGATCATCGTAAACAGTGTTGGTCATCTCTGAGTATGTTGCGATGTCGATAGTCTCAGAAGGTCCCATCAAGGTGTCTTTGATTCGTTGCGGATCACGGCGTTCTTCATTGTTAAACTTTAACTTGATCTGACGACGAGAGCGACCCGGGAACATTTTGCTGATAACCATGAAATCGGTACCGAACATGCGGAGACCGCGATAAAACAGTTCTGTCATATCTTCATCCCACGCTTCCGTCTTTGTACGTTTGCCGTACGAGGCCTGATTAATCTTCCGGGTGAATGAGCTTTCCACCACATCTTCGAGGTCACCGGCGGCTCTGGCAGCATCCGCATGACGATCGACCTGCAAGGACGTATTATCCAGCACGATCTCACCGTTAACGATTCGCATTATAGGGCCACTTTGGGGTTTCCAGTCGACTGGCTGTTCGGTTTTCTCTTGTTCAGGCTCAGTCTGCTTGACGGGCGTTCCTGTTCCCGGCCCAGGGGTTCCGCCCTGCTTCTTCCGTTCTTCTTCGGCCTTATCAATCTTGCGTAGCTCTGTCTCGCGTTTGGACTTCTTTCCAGTTCTAAGATCTTTGCAAAGTTCGGACATTTTCACAACATTCGGCAAAATTTCTACTGTTTCTGCGCCATCCGGGGTTGGTTCGCGCTTCTTGCGGGTGCGCTTTGGTTTCTCACTACCCTCAGGATCAGAGGTACCGGTCTTTGAGTACTTTCGTTTCCTTGGCTTGGTTGGATCGGGAGTCGAAAGGTTGGATTCACCGGCCGTTGCACTTGAATCTTCGATGGTAGGCACGATTGACTGAGAGCCTCGACGACTTGCCCCTACGGATACGGACTCCTTTCGAGCTGGGACCGCAGTGACTGTAGTTGATAAAGTTCGAGCGCGTTTTGCTGGTCGACCCTCGACTGGGGCAGCTTGTCCAGTTTCTGGTTGAGATTGCGGCAGAGCTTCATTTGAATCGACAAGGGTTTCTGCGGCCCGCGCTGTTTCAATCCTAGCGTACTCTAAAAGAGCGTTCTCTGGTCCATGATCCTCAGATACAGGTTGAGCCTCACTAGTCGGGACATTTGCGGGAGGTGGGGTCGGCTGGGTGGAAGGAGGGGTAGGTGGAGCAGTCAAGACAGGCGCGGGTTGCGAGATAGAGATAGAGGCTTTGCGTTTCTGTGGGAGAGGAATCGCAGCTGGCTTAGGAATTTGAGTCGGCTTTGAGATTGTAGTCGGCTTAGGGATCGGAGTCGGCTTTGCGATGGGTGTAGCAGTAGGTGTGACAGTCTGTGTAACGATGGGAGCGGTGATAGCAGCAGTAGTAGTAATCGAAGGAGTGACTGCAGCGTTCAAAGCAATGGGCGTTTGTTCCGTGATAGGCGCAGCTACCGACGCAGGTGAGGATGCTGTGACTGCCCGCGGCTCCTGTTCTGCATCCACAGAGGGCGTCAGATCAGAGGAAGCTACATCTTTAGCTTTATCTTCCTGAACGGGCTCAGCTGGTGACGGTTGGGCAACACTAGGTCGTCTCGCGGGCGCGGCGGCGGGCGCACGGCGGATAGGCGCCTTCGGAGCGAATTTCTTGCCGGTTTTATCTATCAAACGCACGGTCAGAGATTGCATACTTATTCTTCTGGTCCATATATACTCACTGATTGCAGAACTGGAGAAGGACTTCATGGCTGCCCATTGCTATAAGGTGTGGATTGATGAAGATCATAAAAAGTTCCAGGCCGGGGAAGTGGGCGAGGATCACGTGATGGCACTAGCGGACGCTAAACCTCGTTGAAAATCCTCCTGTCTTCAACTCCTCGATCTCTGCCATCCCACCCCTTCTATTGTCTGCCCGCCCGCTCTCCCTTCACTTCCACTTCTTTCGATTTCTTTCGCTATTTATTTTATCTTCTACCGGACTCTCCTTCGACAGGATTGACACAGTCTCGAGATCTGCGTCTGGCTGACTGACGGACGGTCCGGTGGTGATAATAGCCCTCCCATGCTAGTCTAGCCACTGATGCCGGCCGTCGAACCCCCCGTCAAGTCTTCAGAGTCCGGTCTTATCAAAATGGAAGACCGGAAGAGGCCCGCTGCGGACCATAATGACTCAGCCCCGCCGTTAAAGAAACAGGCTACCACCGTTAACGGTGGTAGTAAGCCTCATCCTGATGCCGACATGCCATGGAAAGATGATTTGGAAGTATGTTTTGGTTCTTCCGCGATCTGGAGATTGGCTTTTGGTCTCCTATTGGGTATATGCTAATTGGGCATTTTGCGATAGCGATTTCAAAAAGAAGCGATTTTGCGCCAGATGCAAGAGTACAAGCGGGAGAAATCCTCACTGGAATCACGCTTGAGCCAGATGTCAAAGGCTGCCACGTTTCATAATGATCATCTTCGTGTTATCGATTTGTGGTTCAAACAGGTAGCTTTCCCCATTGTTTGTGCCGGTCACTTGGCATGAATTTGGGAGCAGGAACTAACGCTAGTATAGCTGATTGATGAAGTGAAATTGCTACTTGGGCCACCGCAAGCAGAAGACCAAGGTCAGTCCCCTTGTTCTAGCCCCACACCCCACCCACTATTCCAATATTGACAATATTCGCAGAAACCCCTTTTAAAAGCTCCTTGCAGTTTGAAGACGTTGAAGAGTTTGAGACGCATTTGAAATCGCGGTCGGAGGATATTCACGCAATAATTTCTCAAGTTCAGTCCAAGTCTAATGATGCGCCTATCGAAATTTCAGAGGTACAGACTCGCCTTGCAAAGAAGTTGGCCGAGGAGAAAGTGACGATCGCCGAACTCGAAAAAACCCTGGCCGAGAAGCAACAGTTGGAGGAAAGCCTTGAGGAAGCCTCCCTGCGATATTTGGTAGCTGAAAAGAAACTGGATCGTGCGAAGAGTCTGACTGTTGCAAAATTGGAAAAGCAGCAGTCTATGGGTATTCAACGACCTGGGGAAACGTCACAATCAAAGCGCGAAGGATCGACCCCGGCCAATGGAACCCCCGCCGGAGACCGCAACCCCGAATTGGAAGAAGCCAATAACAAGCTCACTGCAATTTCGGAGACACAGAAGGAGCAAGTCCGGAAACTCGAAGCCGAAAATGCCAGTTTACTAGGCCAAATCACCGAAATCAAAGTCAAGGTTGGATTCACCTCGTTACGTTGTCATTTTGTCGCTCACATCGGGATCCTAGTCTTCAAAGTTCACCGATGACGATTACGCCCATACGGATTTGTTTAAACACCTTCGATCACAGTACGACGATGTAGTTAAGCGAATCAACCATCTGGAAGCGACAAATGTTCAACTTCGTGAGGAAGCAGAGAAATACCGCTCGGAAAGAATCGCATACAAGATCCAGGTTGAAGATGAAACACAAAGTACGATTGCCGAGAAGGAAGCTCAGCTGATGAGGGCTGAAACGGACCTGGCTCGGATACGGAATGCCCGCGACGAACTTTTAGCCGACCAACAGATGCGAAAGGCCGCGCAAGATCAGAAGAAGACTTCTAGTCTGAAACTGCAAGAACTAGCAGACGCTAGAGAGGCTCGAATTACAGCTTTAGAGTCAGAGAGTCAAAGGTTGCGGCTGCAGATTGAGGGCTCCAAGTCCGACGACAATATCAACGATATGCCGCTAGAGGAGCTTCGCGCCAAGTACACCAGCCTAGAACGCCAGTACTCCATGCTCAACACCGAGTTGACATCGATGCAGACGGCCTACACGAAGTTTGCTACTCTCGCATCGCAGAAAGTTACCGACTTTGCGGCTATGGAAGAGAGGGTTGCAAGGCTGACGGCGGAGAAGTCTAAAGCAGATCAGAAGTTCTTTGCTGCAATGAAAAGCAAAGAAGCACGGGATGTCGAAGTGCGAACGCTTAGAATGCAAAGCTCCAAAACGTCGGATATTGTGGCCCAGCTGAAGGAGTCCGAAGCAGCTACTCGGTCATTAGTGTCCAACATGGACAAGCAAGCCAATGAGACCAAGGAGGCACTAAATTCAGCCCTGAGCAAGCACCGCGCCCTTCAGCAACAGTTGACCGAGAGCAATATTCTCATGGAAGGCTTGAAACATCAGGTTTCTGAGCTCAAAGGGCTTTCAACATCCAAGGACTCGACACTGGCAAGCACTACTTCTGCTTTGCGGCAAGCTGAGACAGAGGTCGCTGGTTTGAAACAGTCCCTTTCAGATACCAAGAAGAGTCTGGACAACTGGAAGACCAAGAGTCTTGGCAATTCGTCCTCGGAATATGAAATGCTGCGGGTATGTTGAATTTTCACATTTGTTAATGAATCAGAGCTAACTACGTTCAGACACTTGCACTGTGTACGGTGTGTCGTCGCAATTTCAAAAATACGGTGATCAAGACATGTGGCCATGTTTTCTGCAAAGATTGCGTCGCAGAGCGTCTCACGTCGCGCTCCCGCAAGTGCCCGAACTGCGGCAAATCTTTCGGAAGCAACGACCACATGCACATTACCCTCTGATCGACCTTCGAATCCCTTGTATTATATTTTCCTTTCGATGCTTTTCCTCTTTACGTCTTATCTCTTTTTAGTATGTCACATCCGGACAGGTTCATGGTGTGGTGTTTTTTCGTGTGTGTCTGTGGTTTAGCAGGTCTGGTTTGGGTCGGCGTTTGACGAGTTATGCACCCTCAACCTTAACTCGGGGCTTGTTTTAGTTCCTTTTCCTCTTTTTCCCATTACAAACCAAAGCAATGGTGGGTTTCTCAAGGCGCAGGGGCGTCGTTCTTCATCCTCTCTGGACGAGAGGCCGGCGCACACTGATTTTCTCAGAGGCTGAGCTATTCTAGATTTCTGTGTCATGTAGGACTACCGTGTACGGAGCAGAAAAAGTACAAACTTGACGAATGCAATGTGAGATTTTCCATACCCCAATGACTTGATTGTCTTCTATTATAAAGATTCTTGATATTCTCATTCTCATGAGTTAAAGATCCGACTATACAACAACTCATGCCTCCCAACCCAAAGATCCAGCGCAGGGACAACCTGCCCAGCCTGCTCAACAGGCGTATTCCATTCCCGCGCAATGCGCTTCATCATCGTATCCTGCAACCCCTGACTAGCCAACACATTCTGCGCCTGGTAAGGGCCCATAACACCCGCTCTGACAGCCGCACTCAGGACCGCCTTAGCATGATTCATAACAAAGACATACGCCGTCTGCTGCAAGTCGAGACCCATAGCCCGACACACCACACCCCAGAGCGGAGCAAAGTGGCCCTTGGGCCCGAGATCCTCGTCCTCCTCGAGACAAGACTTCAACGCATCGGACAAATCATCGATAGCAGTGGCGGCGACCGCGGTATCTCCCGAAGCCGGGTTCTCAGGCCTCGCGAAGCTGACTCTAAATGCGCGCTCCCAAACACCGATGAGGGCGCGGCCTTGGGCGATACTTGCACGCTGCGCGACAATGCACGGCGTTGATGCGTCCAGGTCGTTATCTAGTGTGTCGAGGGTTGAAGGTTGCCGGTATCCGGCTAGCACGTAGGGGAGGGATGTGCTTGCGATTGAGGCGATGGAGAGTTTGAGGAAGCGGTGGAAAGAGGTTATTGGGGCGGTGCGAGCAGGTTTGTTATGAGCTAGATAGGACTCTAGTCCGCTAGAGTAGGCGAAGGAGCCTAGTGGGAGGGCGGAGTCTGAGAGGAGGAGGAGGGCGTGAAGAGATGCGCTGGAGGTGGTAGGTTTATTATTGGTATTATATTGTTCTAGGAGGGGTTAGCTTAGGTATGCGACATTGGAGGTTTGGATTTGCCTACCTTTAGGGGCCCATGAGGAGGGTGGGCTGGGGTATTCGGAGGCTGCTAGTTGAGCACGGGCATCTTGCAGGCGCGACTCCAAGAGAATGACCTCGGCTTCGAGGTCTTGGGTGTCTTGGATCAGCATAGTGTAGCTATCAAATATGTGGTAGAGTATCGTATATGTAGTATGTACAAAGTATAGATTTAAAAAGTAATGTTATCTGGATCGGAGGGTGTCGAGGTCTTATAGAAGCTGATCGGCAAAACGAAAAGCGGAGGCCGCCGCACTTCTCCGTATCAGCTTGACTGTTTCACATTATTAACTGTTTTTGGACTTGGACATTAATTACTATCTCGCTGATCTCTTTTGCCCTGTTTTCCCCGCGTCATGAACTAAAGTCAATCTCCACAACCATGTCAGGCAAGCGTCTGCTCGACGCCATCCAATTCCTCAATGTGTCGAAAACCATCGCAGCCAAACACCTGGCCATCCGACAACATCAGCTAGATGTCTACACACGCACATCCTCCTTGACCAAGGGTATCAAGGCCCAAGCAGAGGGTCTGATCCTAACTGCTCAAGCCGCCGCCGCATTGGCACGCCGATTTGACGAGCCATCTCCGCCGAGCCCGGCAAACGTCCCCGACAAGCCTCCCGCCAGCACTGCAACACCACCTCCGGACCTCGCCCGCAAATTGCAACGTCAAGCCGAATCGCAAATCCCGTCTTCGGTGGCAACATACAGCATCTATGAGCAACCAAGCGCTCTGGTTGCGAGCAAGCAGCAGGATGTCTTCTATGAGCCATCGCTTCGGTCGGAGCCGGATCTCTCGGGCCTACCGAGAGTGAAAGTACCCAAGGCCGCAAGCGATGCTCAAGTTGGTAGCGATGGATTGAACGCGGATGTCTTCCACTCGCCTATTGAATCTAGTAAGCCTGCTCCGGTTGAGCATGAGATGCCCGAGGAGATGGTCCAAGGTCTTTTCCATAGCCCGAAAGTGTCGCGCATGATCTCCGGACAGCCGCCGCCGAAGAGGGACTGGAAGCTGGCCGCGAAGCCTCAGCAGCCGGTCGTGGATGCTGCTAAGCCTGTATCCCCGGTGACTCCGAAATCCGAGGCTCAGGAGATGGAGGAGCTTGCAGCTAGCGTCGCCGAAGACGTGGTGCCTAGTACTAATACCGTCGGCGAGACCAAGGAGCCAAAAGCGTACCAGATGCTGGAGTCGCGCGTGCCGTCCTCTCGACTAGGCAGACTCTGGCAGTACGGTGGTCTAGCGACCTCAATGGCATTTGGCGCTGTCGGAGAGGGTTTGCGGCGAGCCACTGGCAGTCAGGACAATGGATCTATTATGTTCAGTGCTGGTAACATGGAGCGAATGGTAGCCAAGCTGTCAAAAATGCGTGGCGCAGCTCTCAAGCTGGGACAGATGCTGAGTATTCAAGGTACGTTGCATTGTCTAGCTCACTGGTATCAATAATGCTCATGCAATTGCTAGACTCCAACATGCTCCCCGAACCAATTCAGCAAGTCCTCCAACGCGTGCAAGATCGCGCAGACTACATGCCCGCCTCGCAGCGTGACAAGGTACTTACCGACAACCTCGGACCCAACTGGCGCGACCTTTTCAGCACTTTCAACGAAATCCCTATGGCAGCTGCCTCAATCGGCCAAGTGCACTCAGCCGTTCTCAAAAGCACCGGCCAACCAGTTGCCGTAAAAGTTCAATACCCAGGCGTCGCCGACTCAATCGACAGTGACCTGAGCAACCTCTCAATTCTTCTAACAGCCTCCCGTCTCCTCCCTAAGGGACTGTACCTTGACAAAACAATCGCAAACGCGCGCACCGAGCTAGCTTGGGAATGCGACTACGTCCGTGAAGCCAAAGCCGCCGAGCACTTCCGCGGGCTCTTAGCCGGCGACTCAGTCTTCATCGTTCCCGAGATAATCGCCCACGCCTCCGGCAAACAAGTCCTAACAATGGAAATGCTGGATGGCGTAGCCGTGACCAAAGTAACTGACTTCACCCAAGCCCAACGCGACTGGATCGGCACACAAATAATGCGCCTCTGCCTCCGCGAGATCACCGAATTCCACTACATGCAAACCGACCCGAACTGGACAAACTTCCTCTACAACTCGTCGACGAACAAACTTGAACTCCTCGACTTCGGCGCCTCGCGCGCCTACCCCGAGGAATTCATAACAACCTACGTGCGCACGCTAGTCGCCGCCTCCCGCAACGATCGCCGATCCTGCAAAGACCTCTCTATCGAGCTGGGGTACCTGACAGGAATGGAATCGCAGGCGATGGTCGACGCGCACGTGAGCTCGATCATAACGATCGCGGAGCCGTTCATGCTTTCCTCGCCGGATCTGTACGATTTCAGTAACCAGACGATCACGGACCGCGTGCGCACACTTATTCCGGTTATGATTCGGGAGAGGCTGGCGCCGCCGCCTGAGGAAACGTACTCTCTGCATCGTAAACTGAGTGGGGCTTTCTTGCTTTGTGCTAGACTTGGTAGCTCCGTGCCCTGTAAGGCTTTGTTTAGTGAAGCTGTTGAGGCGGCGCAGCGGAATGGGCTAAAGGTGGAGTAGAGAGATGTGGTTATGTACTATTATAGACTCTGTATAACTGTATACTATATATTCAGGGAATGAATCCTGGATTATTTTGGTTATGTCAAGTATCAAAAGGATCCAGGTTGTCTCGTAAAGTTAAGTTTGCCCTAATAAGTGCCAAGAGCGCCTCCCGCACGCGGCTCAACAAGACATGATGGATTTAATCTATCTCCACACCATATAAGATCTAAGCTACGATTATAGACTCGGGCAATAATATCCTTCGGTGAAAAAGATTTGATGAAACTAGCATACTCTATTCTTTCGGTACCAAAACAAAGGAACGATATCATCCTTAACTAGAAGCATTGAAGTTATCCAGGACCGCGTCGTCCTTGATAGTTTCCCAAATACCGTCAATTCGTCTCACAACTCCCTCTTCAAGAGGACCCTTCCGCAGAATAGCCAGGGTGTTCTTCAGTTGAGACACACTACTAGCACCCACCACAACAGCATCGCCGAGCGCACTTTGGATTTGAGAGTGGAAAGCGACCCAGCGGTAGGCCAACTCAGCCTTCGAAACTCCCGAGTCCTTGGACAGTTGATCCCAGAGATCAAGCGCCTCCAACAAGCTGGGGGTATTGTACAGCCTATTGTACAATTGACCTATAGGGGTGCTGGAATCCCAGCGACCTTGTCCGCCGTTGAGAAGTGCCTCCTTCGACTTCGTGAGGAAACCGCCCGCAATAGGGCTATATGCGTAGAACCGAATATTGTGGCGGCGCAGGACGGGGAACAGTTCGGTCTCGATCAGGCGCGAGATGGCATTATAATTCCCTTGGTAGACCGAAGGAAGGACGTAACCCTTTTCCTTGCAGATGCGGATAACCTCCTCGACTTCGTCAGCGCGGAAGTTCGACAGCCCAAAGTAGTGGAACTTGTGTGCTTGGTAGAGCTCATTGATAGCGGCAAGGGTCTCTTCTAGAGGAACTTTGCGATCAGGCGCGTGGAGGTAAAAGATGTTGACCTAAGACCATTATCGTCAGCATCGGTTCCCTACAGTTTGCGGATTGGGATTTCCTGCACATACACTGTTCGTGTTCAGCTTCCGGAGGCTCTCGTTGGCTCTTTCGATCACCAGTTCTTTGGAAGACGTTCCAGGCACGAAGCCACCAGCGTGCTTGGTATCGACGATAAAGCGGGAAGCGGCACCTGTTTGGCCTAAGAGCTCTTCACTTCCTCTATATATCTGGGCAGTATCGATGTCCTTCACACCATTCTCCTCAAGGACACGGAGGACTTCTTCCACCTGCGCCGGGGTGGAAAAGTCACTAGAAGCGCCGAGAAGGGCGCCCCCATATACCACCTTTACTTGTTTGTCGGCCATTGAATAGATATGAACGAAAAAGGGATTGCAGGACTTCAAAGTTTAATGTGAAAGTAATGTTGAGAAAGTGTGATAAAGACAGGCTCAGATATCTATATATACCAACACATGCGAGATAAATCACATTAGTAATACAATCACAAGTGCTCTAAACTCGGAGACTTTCTATACTGCTCGGTAAGCAGAGTTGTCATTGAACCGAAGCCGAAGGCCGAAGTGATTCAGATCTCTTTGTAGCACGTATACAAGCCCTCGTTCCACCCTGAATGCCCGTCCGCAAATCAGAACCGAATATTGAAGGGTGTGGATCCCTTTAACGCGGCCAGACGGACGGGACACGGAAAGTCGTAGGGAAAACGGGATAAGCGGACTTTGACGGAGCGCAGCCACATTTTGTCCGAACACCCCAACTCCTACCCAAAATTACATACCTCCATATGTGAGAGCCCGAAACTTCGGCCGAATATTCTGTTTTTCAAGGCGCATCCACTAAAGCGGCCCCGTGCATGAGACCAACTCCGTTCTGATGAAGGTACTGACTACGAAAGGAGGAAGTGATCAACCGTGAGTGAGAATGATGGTAGATGACGGAAGATGGGGATCTAGGTACTGTCATGAAGCTCTCGATATAGCTTCGCGCTATAAATCCGCCAGAAGCCAGAAGAAACATCTCTCAGACATACAAAAGAAGTGCCAACGCAGCAAGCTGAACGGCAAGCTGCCTGTCGGAGAAGTCAAAGAAAAGGGAAGGAATGCCACAGAAGGTCTACCAACTGTATAGGGCAACAGCGAGCACGTCAGAATGCATCACGTTCTGAGCTCACGGGACAGACGGACTCTAACGGACATGACTCGGACTCTCTCCGACAACGCAATTCTTGTCATAAACCACATCTAAAATTACTCAAACTAGGTGGGTCGGAGATGACCGGAAACGAGGGCATTGTCATGAGCATTTCATTATAAATAAAGACACCATGCTACCCCAATCGTGCTTCAGATTAATCCTCATCCTTGCAAGTCATAAGTTATGGTTACCAACACCCACAAAGTATTTAGAAGGGATGGAGCGACCATTCGTTCCCACATCGAACCACGTCCGCTTCATGGCCCATCAGAAGTCCTTGTCAAAGTCCGCGCGGTCTCTCTTAATTGGAAGGATGTGGCAGTACTCGACGGTCGATTTCCCTTTCCAGCATTGGAAAATGGCATCTCTGGAACTGAGTTTGCCGGGGAGGTCGTATCCGTTGGCAACAAGGTGAAATCCTTCACGGTAAGTTCAGTCTAGGGTCGGTTTGTCAAGTCCGTGGCTTCTCTGACTCGTTTTTATTCTTTAGGAGGGTGACCGAGTAACATCTTTGATTGACTTGGATGCTATTACCGGAAGAGAAAAAACCGTGCAAGGTTTGTTTGTATCCAAGCCCGGTATATATGGTATAAAGTCCTAACAAGCACAGGTCTGGGCCAGAATATCGATGGAACATTAGCGGAGTACCTCGTTATGCCGGCGGAAAGCCTTGTGAAAATTCCAGATCATCTGACGTGGCCCGAGGTAAACATTATACCAGAAAGGAAGACTGTGATTTCTTGGAGCAGAGCTGACGAAAGAAAATAGGCGAGTATGATCGCGTGCGCAGGATTGACTGCATGGTCAGCTCTCAATATGAAGAGCTCGAACCTGTGTGGGAAAACCGTGCTTATTGAGGGTATGAATCAGAAAAATCACGCCAATCAAAGGCACAATGGCTAACCTTACTTATGCAGGAACTGGTGGTGTTAGCCTCATCGCCCTCATTCTCGCCGTTCGGGCTGGTGCTTATGTGATTATCACGTCTTCATCTGACGACAAGCTTGAGAAAGCACGAATCCTGGGAGCTTCGCATACCATTAATTATGCCAAGCATCGTGACTGGGAGAATGAAGTGCTCGAACATACCGGAGGGCTAGGTGTAGACATCGTTGTCGAGCAGGGAGGAGCGGCTACTCTATTGAAGAGTGTCTCGACGGTTAAAAAGGGTGGCCAGGTGTCCCAAGTTGGGCTGCTTACTGCAAATAGTGAAGGCGATTTCGTTTTGCTAGTCCAGCAATTGATCATCAAAGCTTGCAGGATCGTGTGAGTGGTAATCCCTGTGTTCATTATATCAAATACTAACCGAGTCAGAGGTATCCAAGTTGGGACGAAGGTTGACTTGGAAGACTTTGTCGAGCTTTTGAGAGTCACTCGCCTTGGACTGTTGCCGGTTATCGATCGAATTTTCGAATTTGAACAAGCCCCGGAGGCTTGTGCATACCTGCAAAGTGGTAAAGCTTTTGGCAAAGTAGTTGTTCAATTCTAATTGCATAACGTTCTCCACTCTACCAGATATATGAAACTACACAAGAACCGTCGCGACGATTGTAAGGTTCCCTGTAGATAGATATTCTCAGATAAATAAATAGGTGTTATTGAGACTTATGAGAAAAACACAAAATGCCTAGATTTCTGTCACCTAGGTTGGGATAGAGTCCATGATTCGTCGTGCCGCTAGAAGTTCCAAATATATCCCTGGAGAGACGTTAGCTGAATATCAAAAGCAAACGACGTACCGACAAGTAAGAACATACCAGCAGATTTCCATTTCGCGTTGAGTTTTTCCAATGCTGTTTCTATGACACCCAAGCCCCTCAATTGACTTGTAACAATGAATCTTACCCCTGCCAAATAAAACCAATGCAATACAAATGGCGGGATATCACCGTGGGTTAGATCCACGCTCTCCGTCTCCATATATTCTTCAGCTACGGCTAGTGCGAAGGAGGCAGCATCATTAGAAACAGCGTTTGCACGTTCACGAAGATTCGGTTCCTCATGAGAAAGATATGGGGCATAAAGCGTTAGGAGGGCGCTTTTGACAACGGTTAGTCAGAATGTATAAAATGAATTGTAAAAAGGAAACAGAGGGCCGTCAAAAATGAGTAAGTGGGCATGAGAGATACCTACCAAAATGAGATTGCAGTTTGGTAGCATATAATGGAATAAGTCGTGCCCGCATTAGACTCTGAATACGAGATTAACGCGTGAAGGGTCTTCTCCAGCTGGCTAACCTCTTCCTTTCGAAGTTCAATGTCAATCGACATATAAAGGTCATGGAGAAGGACGCGGCCAAGGAGATAGCCAGCTTGCACGACGTTTGCGTAGCGTCCGAGTGACTCGGGAGGAGCCGACAATGTGGAGAACACATTTTTGTATCCTCCGTAGTCCCATTCCTTCTCCTGGCAAGGAAGCTGTTCTGTTAAAGCGGGCTCGGAAACAAGCAACTCCTGTCGGGGGTTTCCTAGGTTCGCAATTCTGGGCGAGCACAAATTAATCAAACTGTACATATGGGGCCCGTGCCAGATTAAACAAACCGCTCAAGCATGAAGATAGCCCACCAGGTTCTTCTCCTCTCTTCCGCTTCAACCCATGGTGTATCACTAATAGGACCATCTACCGAGCTAGTCCAACCGATACCTAATGCAAGAGAATATTTCAGGCAGAGACCTATTGATACCTGCACGGCAGGATACATAGCGTGGCCAATCTCATAAACCGCGAGGAGAATACAACCCTGTAGTGTCTCCATGGAAAGAATACCGGCAACTTGCATCTCAGTAAACAGCCGCCTTATAGTAGAGTACAATGGGGTCCACGGGTTGTCGTTTTGAAGAGGGCTGAAAAGATCCATACATAGACACAAGAAAACAGCATCAGTCCGCAGGGGCGACAGCGGATTCAGCAATTGATCGTAAACCTTCCGTTTTGATATGATTGGCAGCCATGGATGAACACACTGGTAATAGCGAGTTGCTATTCGTTGTAGGCCAGTATTATCACCCATAAATGGTCTCACGTAACTCGGGATTAAATTGGGGACAGGGAGAATTGATAACCGTGCTTTACTTCGTTGGAAGACTTCATGGTCTAAGAAACGACAGGCCACACTGGTCCGATCTCGAGGACTCTGCCCGGGCTGCAGCGCAGGTGGCTCCTCAACGGTAATTGCGGTGGAGGAAGTGGTATTCTGATCACTTATTAGATCAAGTGTGTTGTTTTTGTACGAGCAGACCCTCTGGTGTCTGGGAACATTAGCCCGAATTTTGATTGGCAGTGTTCTGATGCTTACCGTTTGCAGGCGGAACACTCGGGCGTTTCCCTATTGCATTTGATCTTGCGTTTATGACAGAAGTAGCATGCCCGCTGGGCACGGATGGGGTCATTGGTAGCCTGGTCTGACATAGTTTCGAGAGTGTCAGGCACAACTTTTAATGTTTCTCATCATAGAACGGGGGAAGGACGGAAAGGCGGGGGACACGGAGAAGTTGCCACCCCTCACGGAGAATTTCCGAGATATTCCGCCGGGCCCGCCACAGCGAGACTACTCTAGCAAGTTCGAGCTTACGATTTGTCAGGGATTCCTCATCGATCATGATACACATTCGAAATTTGTTCTAATTTGGCTCTTGCCTTGGGCTTCCGCCCATATTTCAGAATAGGTGCGAATTGATGTAGTTATCGTATTTCACCAGACCATAAGGAAGACCAAGTCTCTGGTCTATACGACCTTCTTAAAGTGTAGTAACGGAAGTAAAAAGTCATGTTTTTTGCGTAAACTATGGATCCGCTAGCTGCCAAAGCCTTGTAGGCGACCTCGCCGAGAGGATCAGACTCTTGACTTAACGATGATGTCGGAGTATGGCTAGGCGGCTCTCTGCCGAATTGGTTGTATCGGCGTCGACGGGCGTTCTGAGTATCGTCTATGCGATCTCACCGGTAAGGGGAGAATTACCCTAGTCCCGGCGTTGTGACGTGCCGGGTCTTGTCACTTGTAAGACAGAAGATTGCAAAACAATGCAAACTAGAAAACAAGCAAATAGGCAAAGCAAGGCAAATGTTGGATCGTAACAGGCGCGATGGGTTGCGGGGGCAGACTGCCATCGTCCCATGATATGCTGACTCTGCCGGCGTGCATAGTCTGCGGCGCGCATAGCGAACATCTAGTGATCTTTCGGTCTGATATCTGCTGATAACCTTTTTCTTCAAGGCAGAGTTGCATGATATCTTCATATATGAACGAATAACGGCCTGGCAAGGCACTCATCTCGAAGGCATTCATTTTGAGAGTTGTTTGCGGTATCGAATTGCCTTTGTAGACAATCAAAACGAAGAAGAACATAAGGAGAGAAAGAGAAGAGAAGAGCAGAGAAGAGGGGCTGTTTACACAGTCCCTAGGTTTGGCCAGTTTTGTGCACGTCCCATACTCCACTGGATCCTCATACACTGAAGCATATGCACCTTGGAAGGGACCCCAGTCTCGTCCTATAATATATGGGCTGCGGTATCAGCTCGTCCGGGGAATATCGATTGCTTCGTCGGGCTCGATGTCCTCGGGGCTGAAGATCGTTGACCGGGTTGATTTCTTTTCTTGCTCGACCTTTTCTTTCTAGGAGTGACCCGAAGAGGGAGAGGGGGTTCGAGACTAGAGAGCGGTGGTGTTACAGAAGGTAAGTGGAAGAGAAGGGGATCATATTGTGTAGTTACATACATGGTCACAGATATTCCAGATCAGTGAAGGGAGTATCACCTGAAGGAACAAACAGCATGATGAGCGGGCCACGCACCGTTCGAGGATATTGCCAGATAAATTGTGCGAGTGCGTTTGTAAGGTGGTTTTTGTTTCCTGCTGTAGGTTGATTTCGTGGGACATGAGACAGTCTCTTGGTTAACGGCCCACATCACCTGGCTCCGCCATTGTTTCTGATGACAAGAAAGAAATCGAAGGTAAGAAAATCATTTTCGTTGCGTATAGATATTCATTGAATCGGCTGACACGCTCACCGTCCGCGAGGATGCGACTGCGGTAGCGAAAGCACGGCACCAGACATCTTGCAAGATATAATGGTTGGTATCAACAGCCACAGCAGGAATATATGAAACATGACCACTAGATAGCCATGATACTGGTATCGGACAACCCCTTTCGTTTGACTGCGAGCTATGCTCGTCTTGAGGACGCAATTGGTGATAGGATTGAGCTCCCAACCCCATATATAGGTGTGGATGTTGCGTATATATGACTCATCTGTTGCATGATTCTGCGTATACCAAGATTAGTTAATACTTTTGAATGAGACGATCGATAGTATATAACTCACTGGTGCCATTTGAACGACCAGGATAGAGAGAATATCTCTGGTTGTATTATCATTATTCATTGCGTGTCGAGGAGACGACTGTGGTAAGGGATTCTCTAGAGAGAGATGGAAGGATTCGCTCTGCGTGAAGTATATTTGTAGTCTCACAAGAGCGGTCGGCCACTCATGCTTTTCCATATATAACATGTTATGAGTGTGTGGTCACTCATTAAGAAGTATGCCCCTGATATATATGAAGGCAAGGTTGTAGAGCGAGGGTAAAGCGAAGGTAAAGCGAAGAAGGTAGGTGAAGGCAATATAAAGGTGGTGTAAAGGGAATGTGAGGACAGAGGGGAACATGAAAGAAATGGATTGTGAATTCAAGATTCGTGGTCAGCGCTAGGCCGCGCGGTTGCTGTTCTTTTGGGTTATATATATGTTTTACACAACTGCAGTCTGTCTCTCCACCTTACTTCTCTTCCTTCCTCCCCACCTCACCACCAGCATCGAGGCAAAATGAAGCTCGCCTATCCACCGTGGGTGAGAATATCGACGATATCCACTCAGTCACCTGGCATTACGCAAAGTATCATGCGACGCTCAGGAGGAGCCTCGCATTTAAGCTCCTGCCCAGCGTGTCATTCAAGCTCCTGATGTTCGCCGCGATGCGTTCAGTGGTGGTTAGAATTTCTGAGATTGCAGCACCCTGGCTATTCCAACCTCATGATTGACTGTGAGCGGATATCTCAGCTGTCCATAGACCAGGATATGTCGGATCTAATCCCTCCACATGATCAACCGACTGATCCTGAGGAGCCGATAGTAGGTGAGCCAGAAGATCTCCCGACCCATACGGACCTGGAAGGCGAGTACGTGGCTGTAACGAATCTTGAACCCCACTTCGACGAGGAGACGGTACTTCGAAATATGGTACTAGGCGCCATTCCCCCGCTCGGCACCCTCGCTTTCGTTTTGTGATTAATATGATTGCTCCCCATTTCAGTCAATTCGACGAATATCTATGCGCAACGAAAAATGTTTTTCTTACCTTCGATTTCTTTCTTGTCATAGACAGGGGAACATGACACTTCTTTCAATAATCTGGAGTATCTCTTACCATGTATGTAGCTACACAAGAAGGGTGTGGCTGAACTTGCCATACATAGGCCTACGCTTGCTGAACTCGAGCCTGGAGAGATTCCAACCCAATTTTCACCCTCTTCCACCAAAGCCCCACAGCCAGACATGGCCAGAATCATCGCGTCCGATCATCAAACCCCTCACCTGAGACTGGCCTAGAAGAAGCGGATGTACTGATGAGTATATGTCAGAGCGCCCCCCGGTCTCTCCAAAAGCCCCTCGAGAGGAGGCAGAGGCCCTGGCCTCTGATGAATCCACAAGGTTGTTTGTGACGGATGAAACGACGCAACATAGTACCTTAGTAAGTTCTATATCTTCGAATCAACAAAGTATTCACAGGTGGTCGCTTATACAAATTACAGTCCAAGGGAATGTCTCGGGGATGTGCCTCCCTGGTCATCCGACTAGCCATAACTTCCATGCTACCGAAGAGAACAAATAGCCAATTTCAACCAGTCCCTTGACGCTCATACATGCAGTTACTGGAAGGCCGTGAATCGGTACGATTGTGACATGGAGAAGGCCCCTCAAGAAGAACTTTCAAATGTTGGAGATTGTAATGACACAACAGAAGAGATCGCCAAAGTAATCAGCAGAGATCTGGTGCTTTGAAAAAGTTCACTGGCTAATCATTTATGCAGAATAGAACATAGCTCAGTCAAAGCATACTACAGACTACTGGCGGTGGTGATGGAGGTTCAATCACCACTAAAAATTCCCATTCTGAGATCAAAAGACGTGAAAATACCCAGCAAAAGAGGCACAACTATAAAAGATGATATCGAGAAGCAGGAAAAGTACATCGGCGGCGCCAGAAACCTTAAGGCACAGTTCCATGACGGGGAGTTCTCCCCAGATGATGCCTCGAGATCTCTCAGAACTCATATTAATGAAGCCTGCGAGTAGCCCACCTGGAAGAGGTCTCAAATTGCCAACAGTAGTCGTGGATTCTGCGTGGTCTGGGTCATTGACCAATTGACGGAAGATTCCCTATTCTGGCTGAATGAATCAGACCAGGAGGTCAAAATCGCATTAACAACATCACGAATATCATATTCGGACGGGTGTTCTTAAAGACGGGGTCCAAATTTACGATAATCAGGAGGCCATAAGGCCATTCTAGGAGAGACTTACGGCAGATAAGAAACTCCACGTCGAAGAGATTCCAGGTCGGTGTTCACTTTGACGATGCACAGAGCTAGGTAATTTGGATATTGGCTTACAGCTGGCTGATGCACCTGGTCGCACTTACCATTGCAAGTAAACCCAGGGAAAGAAGACTGGGAGCACCAATGTGAAATCTTCTTCCTTTTGATCTCCGTCAGGATCTACTTATAATTTTCGACACCATGTTTCAAATTCTATAATCCTTCGCACTCGGAAAAGTTCGATCTCGATTGTGGCGGAAGAAGGTGCAAGGTTGTGTTCTTGGCTTAGTTTAGGGATCGATCCTCTTCCATTTGCTAGCTATTACATTCACTAGTGGATTGGTCACTCAGATTGGCCACTCAGATTGGCCAAATCTCAATATTTGTCTGCTGGATCAGCATCGGGTTGAGGAGAAAGGGTTATAGAGGACCCTGGACAATGTCGTTACTCTCGATGACTTTGGGGACAACAACCTAGCAGAAGAGAAGGCCAACAGTGTCCAGCGAATGATCGGCACTCTGGGTGTATACATATTGTTTCGTTACAGAAATACAATCTAATTCAAGGTCCCATTGACGGTCATGAGTTGCAGGAGCTCAATAGAGCTTCATATAGTAGATATACGTGATGTGCACCGTATCGCGTAACACGGTGATACTCTACTCTCGACGGAAAAGGCCCGGGAAGTCGCCCGTTCGATGAATGAAGAGCAAATCGAATTAGACAAGGTCAAGACGTCTCAGCGCAGGACCCGAATGAATTAGATACGGACGTATGATATCGTTCCAGAGATTTTATTAAATTCACAGGCTAGGTATACGCTGGCATCACACAGTTGGGTTGGACATGCAGATATTTGTCGATTCAACCTTGGAAGAATGATGGTGATAAGAACTATAGTGGCACTAAGTGCAGTGGAATTGCTGGATTTAGTCTGTATATTACGTCCGCTCACTTGTGAAAACTAAACAATATTTCATGGTGAAACTATCTGCTTATATCAACTTCGTTTAAACAATGCCAACAACATCGAGCGAAGAGAGCCAAGGCAGAACGGTCTCTAGCATATCTGACATGTGATAGCATCCAGATGTCGAGGTCCTCCTTCTCTTTGAGAAGTGGCTCCATTTTGTATAGTACGAAGCTTCCCACCGTAGGCAGTCCCTCGCAGTGGTCTCCTGATGGAGCTTGCATACACAGCTATTCTTGGATATAGTCGAAGAGCCGAATATCGAAACGGCAAACGGCTCAGATGGGAAGAAGAAGGATGGGACTCACAACCTCCATTCCCACCAGCAGCGACGGGCTCGTAGCGGAACCTAGCCTTGTTAGTTACTCGATACCTTCAAAGTAAGATATTGGGCAAAGTTGAATTGCATAAAACTTACCACTTGGCCCGAACGTTGTCGTTTTAGGATGCAGAGAAGAAGGGACAGCAGAGTGAGACATGAAGTGCGGAATGAGATGAGAGAGAGGTGAACTCGAAAGTCGAGTCAATCAGGTTCTGGGCTGTGGACCAGACCAACTCAGAAGTCATCACAAAAGGCCCAAGATTCCCCACAATGTCTCCGAGTGACGAGCATGATGCTCATCGACAAAACCCCTCAATTCATGAATGTTATCACTCCTTCATAGAGACTTTAAATCGCGATAAGACAATAGACAGTGGAGGGAAGGTTGATGGGGTGGAAGTGTGAATTGCACGAGGAGCTTCTGTTGACTGTAATAATGTTTGTGTATCTCCCTGCGATGTTCGGTGTTCTAACTGGAGAGATTCGCAAACTCCCTCTGCCACTGCACAAGGGTCTCAGATCACGGCTTGCTGTTGTGCGCTCTCCTCGGACATAACATGGTATATTGAGAGTTCGCGCTATCTCCCGGAAGACGCCAAACCGAATATCAAATCTGTGCGACGATGTGGGAGCTATCGTGGGAGATTTCAGAAAGACCGGTCTAGTTCTCAGTAGTTAGTGGCCATATTATAATTGATACCTCAAAATAGGCATCAGAGCCTGACTGGTCCCACTTACTCTTCTGCAGGTAGGTTTTTATCATTTAAGCACGATCTGGGCCCCCCTCCTGCATGGATACCCATCTGTCATGGCTGTGAGATGGGCGCCATGAAACTTAGCATTGAGTTGTAATCAACTTCCCATCCATTCAGCTCGGTCGATTGGGGGTGGCGGTGATTGTAGTATTCATCCATGCAATTCGTCGGCATGCGACTGCATTACCAACTGAATGCATGACCGGCGAACCAATTCTGGTAGCTAGAGAGATGTAGATGACGCACGAGGTCATTCCAATGGAGGTCGGCAGCTAAGAGGACTATGATTGCTGGCCTGCGTTGTTCTTGACATACGCCATGAGGTCGTGGCGGAAGACTCAGGACAATCGAGTCCAGCGGAGATTTAGTGGGTAGTTCTGCGCACTCTCCAGAATCCTCTTCGGCTTTTCCTGATTGTCACTTGCCCTTGATGTCTTCAAAATCTGAGGGTCGCATCATTCATCATGTCATTTCCATAATTCCAAGTCCATAATCCCAACCAGAGCTCATGTCGTGCCTGGTTGAGCCTAGCTCATGGATGGTTGTAAGAGAAGACACACAACCATCAATGACCAGGTATGTCTCTATAATCCAGACGCACGTAGTCCCAAACTCAGAGGACCAGTCGTTTTTGTATGTTATATCCGAATTCGACATTGTGCAGGTAATTTCCCTTTCTTGCCACAAATGACAAGAGTCCAACATGAAGTCCGCCTATTGGAGTTTCTGCGTCTGGAGGTCGGAAGCTTGAGGCGTAGAGCGCTGTATCAATGCCTTTCGGACTGATGCCGAGGCGGAGCAGGTCTGTGGGTCCGCTTGCTAGTTATACATGGGAATGTACTTGAATTTGGCGCATCGATGATGTAGGCGAATAGTATATGCCTTTGAATGATGCCGAGAGGGGCAGATGTGTGGATCTGTCTTTCTTTGCTTGGGATCTTGTCCGCCCAGCAAGGTCCAGTTCAGTCGGTGGCCATGGTGCGAGGCGTTCCGTGTGGTCTGCGTTTTCTTTTTACGGTATATTTATGCCATTTCCGAGCTAACGATCAGCTTTTGCACGATGTTGGCTTCGGCAAGTCCGCGGTAGATCTCGCCAGCTTAGCTCAGCCTACCTGTTATTGTCGCCCCTCCAGTCCGTGCCTCTTGCACTGGACGACAAGAGTTTCTTGGCTCGCATTTGTCCGGCCTGGTACTGGTACGTATGTAGATCTGAGTAGCCACGCTGTCCAGATTGGTTGCTAAGTCGGTCTATGGAAAAGGAAGACAAAGCGAAAGGATAATCCTGAGGCCGAAGGTCGGTATATAGTCGAAAGGCCAAGGAGAAGGACACGGATGCGATCAACGTGCAAGCTGAGGTTGTTGTTGCGCCAAACTTCGTTCTGACCTCATAGGGAGAGGTGGGGGCAGAGGCAGGCTGCCTATATATCTTGATCTCTCAACAATATATAATTATGAAGTCTGTGATGATGCCTGTTAGTCAAATATCATTGACTTGACTCTTATTTCTGACTCACCTCACCACAGCAGTATCGCGGACTATTCGTCGTCAGCCAGCGTCGAGGACAACCAGAGACCGTCTGCCAGGTTCATATATAAATCACTATAAACAAGCCATGGCTAAAACGTGAGAGGGCTTGCTACAGGGAGCTTGAAGGAAGACTGCCTGATGAATCAGTGAAAGGAAATCAGTGAAAGGAATCATATAGGTGTGAGAAGAGGATGGTTGTAGAAGAGAGGAGCAAATAGCTATCTGGCTATTTATATCTGGGCCAGTAAGCAAACAATGTTAGACTCATTACTCATTGTGGTATTGTAATGCAGACAACAAGGAAATGTTGAATAGCTATAAGAGCCTCTCTACTAGATGCTACGTGATAATCTAGAATTACACAGGCAAAGAGTATGAACTCAAGAAATCAGAGAACTGTCTCTGTCCTTTCATTACTAGAACTAACTAGCAGCGACTTAGCCGGCCGGATTGTCATAGTAACACAATCCAAGCTAGCTTTGTCGATCATCATTCCACGTCGCAACGTATTCGTAACTGTGATTCAAAATCAACACGTAAGACCGTAGGTCAAGATATTTGGAAAATCCCAAAGAATTTCAGGCAGAGGAAAGAAGAGAGTGGACGTGAGGCGTACGGGGTCTTCAAGCCCAGCACGTCCATCGGGGTATTGGGGGATGAAATTTTATAGGAGATGGGGAGGGTAGATCGGGGCGACACGCTTATTTGAAGACGTGACCATCGGCCCACTCCTTAACTTGGCCGTCAACAGTGACGGGAACGTCCTGGGACCACATGTCCTCAACGAGCTTGCGGTCAGCCTCGTTGGAGGGGTCGAGCTTGGTGAACTCGTAACCCTCGTAGTCGGGGCCGACAGTGAAAGCGGGCTCCCACTCCTGGCCGCGGGTCATGTAGGCACCGTAGACGACACAGTTGTAGTTCTCGCCGTAAACGGACTGAGCACCGAAGAGGTACTTGCGGGAAGCCTCGAGACGAGTCTGGAAGCCACCGATCAAGTTGTTGGCCATGAAGGTGAGCTTGAGCTCGTTGTTGTAACGGTAGTTGACCTTCCAGAGAGAGTACTCATCGGCGTTGAAGTGCTCCCAGAACCAGGGCATGGCAACGGTGCGGGGGTCCTCGTTGGAGAACTTGCGCTTCCAGTCATCGAGGATAAGAGTGGGCTTGCCAAGAGCCTCAAGGGGGTGCTTAGCCTTAGGCTCAGCGGTAGAGGCCTCGACGGGGGCGGCAGCGGCGGGGGCAGCGGCCTTGGGCTTGGGCTCCTTCTTGGGGGCGACGTACTTGACGACCTCCTCAGCGAACTTGGGGCTGGGGACGACGGCCTTGAAGGCGTCCTGGTTGATAATAGTGTTGTACCACCGGGTGGTGGCGGGGTTGGCCTCGCGCCAGGTCTTGTCCAAGACAGTGGCGAAAGCACGGGTAAGGAGGGAGGCAGCGAAGATATCGGCCAGAGTGATACGCTCACCAACAAGGTAGGTGTTGGCAGTGAGGTGAGTCTCGAAGGCGGAGATGGCCTTCAGGGCAACCTTGGAGGCCTCATCGACAGTCTTCTTGTTGTAACCATCCAGACCCAACAAAGGACGGTACCAGGCACCGAACTTGGGGAGAACCTCGGAGTTGACGAAGGACAACCAGCGGAGGATGGAAGCGTAATCCTGCTTGGTCTTGCCGAGAAGGGTGGTCTTCTCGTTCTGGGAGGTAACTATGAACAGGACGTGTTAGTCAAGTTGTTTGAAACTCGATGGATCCAACAATGGAGCAATCGGAGGTGACAATGGCACCATATGTCCATTTCAAAAAGAGAGTGGGGTGGTCGAGTCCAAATTTTCCCGCAGAGCGGGGTAGCCAATATTTTTTTCAGAGTTGTTTTTTCTCAACAGTTGTTATAACAATAGTTATAATTCAGACAGGGATAACTAATGGTGTCTCATCATAAAGAAGAGAGGCATAAAAATGGACCGAGGGGTGTGTGGTGACGCATAAAAGGGAGGATATTTTCACATACCATAGACGGCAATGGCAATAGCCTCAGACAGAGTGAAGCCATTGGCACCCTCGAAGGCGGGGATCTTGCCAGTGGGGTTGATCTTGAGGTACTCAGCGCTGGTGTTGAATTCAGCGGTAGAGTTGGCCTGGGTGTTAACCAGCTCCAAGTCGAGGTCGTTGTGCTTAGCAGCGACCAGGATGGAGATGGTGCGACCGTTGTCCTAGAAAATATTAGACATTGCATCAAAATAACAAAGACGAAGATAAACATACAGGCAGACCGTAGAGCTTTCCGAATGCCATATTGAATGTAATTTGTGGAATATGAAGGGAAAAGAAAGAAGGAAGAGAAAGGAGAGGGGCGAGTAAGAATTTTGTGCTGGCGGGACGACTTCGGTGCTCGGAGGAACTGATATTGCCGGGGTCACGTCACATGACCCGACAAAAAACATGACAACTCGGAGACTATCAACGGCCTCCATCCAGGACCTCAAATCCGCGTTGCAGCCCCGAATTCCCCGCCAATTCCACCAGCCATGGCGTGGCACAAACCCACCAGCCTCGCACAGGCGATGCAATCACTCCGCCTAACCTCAACCCTCACAAAACCCTCAATCCAAGCCTCCCGAACAACCCTCAACACCCTCCGCACACGCACCTACGCAACAGAAACCGAATCCGCTCCGGCGGCCGCAGCCCCAGAAATCAACTTCCGCTCCTTCACCCAACAGCCCGCCCGCATCATCCCCTCCTCCCCATCCTACTTCTCCGGCAGCCCGCGGTTCATCGACCACGTCCTGCAGCTGGAAGCTCTGCAAGCGAAGTACGCCGCACTCCCTACAGTGCCCACCAGCGAGGCACCCCGCATGGCGTGGTTCAAGCTGGCGCAGTTCCGCGACTACGTGGGCGAGCCCGTGCCCATGAAGAAATACAAGTCTCTCGTCAAGATCCTGCAGCGGCTGAACCGCATCGAGCCCGAGGTGCTGCCTACCGAGGTGCGCGATACCCTGGCTGCGTTCTTGCGTCCCGGTAACCCGTATGCGGTAGAGACTGTCCCGCGCACGGTGGATGAGAACGGGCGCGCTCGCGGCAAGGGAAAGAGGAAGGAGTCTACGGCTGTTGTGCAGCTTGTTGAGGGTGAGGGTGAGGTGCTGGTTAACGGGAAGAGCTTGGTGGAGGCGTTCAAGCGGGTTCATGATCGTGAGAGTGCACTTTGGGCGCTGAGGTGTACGCAGCGCTTAGATAAGTACAATGCTTGGATTCGGGTGAAGGGTGGTGGTGTTACTGGTCAGGCTGAGGCGATTACGTTGGCTCTTGGTAGAGCTTTGCTGTTGCACGAGCCTGGGTTGAAGGCGGTTCTGAGGAAGGGTATGTTTTTCCTTCCATTTTTGCTCATTTCTTTGTTGACGCAGTTGCTAACTTCAATTCCTTTACAGCCGGTGCAATCACAGTCGACGCCCGTCGCGTCGAGAGGAAGAAGCCCGGTCACGTCAAGGCCCGCAAGATGCCTACCTGGGTCAAGCGTTAAAGTGGCCAGCGAATCCTATTTCCTTTTTGTTTCAATACTGTATTATTCACCACGGCACCCCGAGTTCGCGACTTGTTTTATATCCTGTACTCTCAATGCATATGGGGCAACAATTCTAAGGTTTCATTGAATTTGAATTGATCAGCGTGTTGTATATTCACTTACACCTAGAGTCCACGGTCCTACTATCTTTAAATAGGTGTTAATAAGTATGTATGGACTGTGTGGTAAAGTCCATCTTATACACCTTATCTTTCTTGCCGCTTCTTCGCACGCTGGCAAAGGCCACGAAAGAGATATTAAAATAGATGCCGGTAAGGCCAGACGCCATCTTCAGTTATGGACATTATAACCGACCATTCCGCACTAACTAACTAGAGCATGCATCGAGCCTAACAAGCACTACCGATTTTACCTAATGTGGCTTAAACATCGAAACCCTGCACTGGGAAATCGTTCGTAATTGATATCAAGTACTCCGTAGGTCGACTCTGTCTGAGATCTAATCCTTACAAGGGTATACTAACTAGCGAACGAATACAAATAAAAAGCTCAAAGCCAAGACGAGCCTTTGACACCACATACCGAAGCAATAAGCAGCATGAACTACTAGAAAATGAAATTAAATGACCCCAAGCCCCAAATCCAAGCCCAAGCCCAATTCCAAAACGGGAACACAAAGGTCCCGTTCTATTTTTTGCGCCAGATGCCCTTGTTCCTTTTTGTGACGCCCCAATGCAAAGCCTGTCCGATACATAGAACAGAGATAGGATAGGAAATTATAACCGAAGCCAATGAACCATCCACAGAAAGAAGATCATGAGACTATGTACAACTCGTCAAATTCGTCATTATGGTATATAAGCGGGGAAGTGGAAGACTGTGATGATTGTGATAGTGGCCGTGGTTGGAGAATGATGAGGTGATAGTGGCCGTGGTGATGGCGAATGATGAAAAAGTGACAGTGATATTTCGCGCCACCTCGTCAGCCCGAGTTGAATAGACGATAGGTATAATTTGAAAAGATCAAGCGCTGACAGCCAAGCCGGCGAATGATCGCCCCTCCCGGAAGACCGATGACCAAAGACGGAAGGAGGGGGCCGGTCGATCTCTCATCAAAACGAATGCGAGAGTGATTTGGTGCCCAACACGAGGGGAGAGGTGATAGATTACCTCTTCGTTGTCAAGTATCAACATCGGGGTTGGCGCGACGCTAGTAGGCAATAGCCTCCCCGTGGCGGCAGCGCTTGGGTGATGGGTCAATGCGTCCGATCGTCACGGTGCAGCCGTGTCTTTCCCTTCTGGGAGACCCGATTTGATGTGACGTGAGTTATTTGGTTTTTGGCGATTTTCTTTTTTTCGCTTTTCTGCTCGCCTTTTTCCGAGGGACTTGGTTCATGGTCGAGGCACTGTCGTGGCTTCGGGTCTGACAGGGATGTGGTGGAGGTCGGGTCTACTGTCCATGAGATCAAGGCATTGGCCCAAGACTAGTTTTGGGATGATTAGGATGTAATAGAGGTGCATCGGAGTATAGCGCAAACTCACCGGACAGGATCTCTTCTTCCCATATGCCCATTTGATAATCTACTAATCCGTGAGGCTCAAGTTGATCGCAGAGCTGAATTAGGTCCCTTCCCATAGCCTCCAGTCGGTCTCGTCGAATTAGACTCGTATGCGCAGGTTGTTGACCAGTCGCAATCACCTCCAGCATCAGATCCTTTTGCTTTTGACATATGGCTAGCCAACAGAGATTGAATTCGCTCCAGAGCTTCAAACGCTCGGAGTAATGGGTGTTGTCGTCATGGAGGAGGCCTACGTATCAAACAAAAAGGATTAGCCTCTCACTGTAGATCATCAAGGTATCGAATGATGCTTGCATGACACGCCTGTAAGCTTAGAGCCAAACATTAGGGGGCAAAGAGAACAAGAAAAAGAAGGGTCCAGTTGAGAGTGCGGCTTCTGTGCTACTAGGCGAGGGCACGCATAGTAACCCTGTGAACTTGTTCCTCTGTCTTCTCCGAAGGGGCGAAAAAAAAAAACGATAACGCTAGCGAGAAGACTGCATCTTACCAAGTTCCCGTGCATTGGTCACCAGCCACTCGGATATTTCAAGCAGCGACCCTCCAGCCTCTACCAATCTTCCGGCTCGCGTTTGATCGAAAGTGTGGCACAGGATGCGTTGATATCGTCCGATGGCCTCATCCAGGCTAGGCTGATCCGACGGTTGGGACTCTTGTTGGGGCTGATCCACTCTGTTCATGGACCCGGAACAGATTGCAGCGAAATCAGAGACGGGTGCAGAAAAGGTCTGGGTGGTGTTCGGGCGTGCCATGGGGTCCGCTTGGTTATAAGGCTGGAGTTGCGCATTTAGATAAGGAGAGAGTCCCGCGACCCCAGACCCTGCAGATTCTTCTGGTGCAAAATACTGTGGAACGGCAAATTGGTTCGACAGGACATCAATGGCTGCAGACTGCCGTGTCTGGTACTGTGGCACAACCTCGAAGTGTCCCTGGGTTGGACCTTGCTGACCGAACCCGTACAGCATGTTAGAGTCGTAGGGTGGGAATGCAGCGGGGTCCTGCGGCGGCGCGCGCCGTCGCTGGTGTTGAATAGCCGGCGCTTGTTGAGATCGTTGAGCTCGTACATAGTCCTGGGGCTGATAGTTCTGCAAGTCGGTTGACTGCAGGGAACCGCCGTGGAAGGAGCTGCCTGTGTATCCGTAGTCGTAGGACATCGGGACTTGCTCCGGGGGTTGCGACATCCCCGTTTGGTTTCCACGTGGTATGGCTGGGTCAAACCCATCTGCTGCACGACCAGGTGGTCTGCGAGCATTTCCAGACCGAGACATTGATCTTTCATTCTGCTTCATACGTCGATCGCCATCCATGAGGCTGTCCCAGGATCGGTGCAGATCAAGCTCAGCCCAATGCTTGGGGGACAGCGGTGGGCTTGCGTAGTATGCCAGCTTGGATGATTTCTGAGGGGGATTCCAGGGAACTTTTTCCACTGAAGGCTTTTCCCCTAGTTGGGGGTGGGGGAGAGAGAGATAGGAGGGAAAAGAAGGATGAGACGTAATCCTTGCGGTTCAAGTAGATATTCAAATCTTGTCCTCTGACGCAGCCGCGACACAGATTTAAGTAACAGAGAAAACAAAATCACACAATAATTGAAATGGAAAATAAAGTCGGCCAAAAAAGTAGAAGGAGAACAAGGGGGAAAAAGCAGAATTAAAATGCAATTAGGCAGGAAATTAGGGCAGAGTCAGGTAGACGGAGATATTAAGAAAGAAGAGTGATGGATCTGAAAAGAACAAGATGGTGAGCTGATCAAGGACTTGAGTAGTAAGATAGATAGATCGAGTATATGTATAGTCCAGTCCTTGAATGGGTCTAATATAGTATAAGAAGGGTATAAGGGTAGGTATAAGAGTGGATAGTATAAGTAAAAAAAGGGAAACCAAGGGGGAAACAGAAGAAACTAGGGCTTTTCCCGGGAATAGAGGCAAAATATACCCCAAATAGCAAGTAGCAAATATCCCAATCTCAAAATCTAAAACATTAAGCCCTAAAGCCATATAATATGATCGACGATCGAGGATCTACATCTAAACTCCATTTGGCTCGGGAACCCGGCGCAATGGTTCTTGGCCTCGAGGGATTTGGGGATTTGCGGTTTTCGACATTTATTGCATTTCTTAGCTTGTTTTCTTTTTGATTTTTGATTTTTATTTGTCTACAAGTTCAGCTCTCGATGTCAGGTGGGATACTTTCCTTTC